TGCTCATCGGTGTCATTAACGGACAACGGAGGATCAAAGCAGATGGCGCCAGGGGTATTTTCCACAAGGTCATCAACATAACTCATATCCACACCGCCAGTTCGACTCTTTCGTCTCAAAATTCGAGCCTTGTTCCGCTGTCGCATCTTGTCTTGAAGCATTTCTTGTAATGCGCGCTCTTCCTCGACAGCTGCAGCCTTTTGTTTACGAAGTTCCTCCTGTTTTTCTAGGTCTGCACGTTGAAGAGCAGCCGCCTCTTGCTCCATACGCTCCTCTTCAAGGCTGGGTAGGTCTTTGTCCTGTGCCTGTGCCTGAGCAACATCCTCCAGAACATCTTGGATGGACACAGCCAGCTCGTAGATCATCTCACTTCCGAGCAGAGATTTTGGCTTGTTACGCAGAATTTCTTGGATTCGGGAACGCGCTCCATCGCGAAAGCCGTCGAGGTTTCCCGGTGAAAGGTTGGGGATTGTTTTAGGATATGTAGCTGGCAGTTCGACCAGCAAAATGAGAAGTACGTCGGGATTCGAAGAAGATCGCAAATGGAGCTTGAAAGTCACATCGGAGGATTGCTAGAGTGTACAGGTTAGTGTGACCGACCACGGGCCCAACAGCTTGAAAGGTGCACCAACCTGCCAGGCCGACCGCCTATTTTCTACTTCTTCAAAGTCATCGCCATAGATGGAACGCAAAGCTTCCACCTCTGTTTGGTGGATTTCTCGGTAATTGGTTGTAAATATGGGGGACGTCACGGAGGAATTGGAGGCTTGGTTTTTCTGGCGGGAGGGCTTCTTCCTCTGTTTGGGAGACATCGCGGGGCGTGGCGAGAAGCGCCCTACATGCGACCCTGAGCGTCGTACGGCATGGGGGCTGGTGGTAAAATATGAAGGGGTTATGGGAGATGGAAAGAGAATTGGGCAGTCTTTTTTCCCTCTGAGGGCTAGAATAAACAGGCGGTCAGATCATACGCCCTTCCATTTATAGAGTGGAGATGCTTAGTATAAATGACGACCCCGTTGGTCCAATTGTGGATTTATGGATTTATGGACTTATGGATTTATATTGCTTAAATTGTACTTTGAGTGAATTGCATTTCATGATTCTTTGCATGTTATATTTACTTGGAGGTTCTTTGCAATATATCCTATCTGTCTATGGACTTGAGATTTGAGTGAATCATCATCATGAAACCAAAAGAACCATTGTCCCTGCCCAATAGTGGACCCAGATATCATGAAATAGTGAGATGAGCTGGCATAGGGTGGCCATTGTTGTCACCACAATCGTCGATCATTGCTGCTCGTGTTGGCTTTGTTCTAGCTGTGACTATATCACACACGATCGAATGCACCGAGCAACAGGCTGCCAACCACAGCAATCATTGGTGCATATCCCCAGTGATTCCACTGTCCTTGGCCATGGGTCCAACAGACATACCCATCTGCAAATGCAACGCTGCTAGTGGCAATCATGATCCAGCCCAGGGTTGAACGGGTGCCGAAATACGAAGCCACATATATGGCAGCCCCCATGAAGATATCCCGGATTCCATAGATTGCCATTAAACTGTCAACCATCTGTTTATCCATGAGAGAGGTAGGTGGTTGGAACTCGAAGAAAGTGAGAGCATGGTCTGGACGTAGGATGGCGTTGACACCGAATCCCACAGAGATGGTTGCGAAGGCGCTGGCAACCAAGCGGAGAACAACCGAATGGGAAAGAGACATGTTGCTCTGCCAAGACAGTCCGATGTTTGATGTTTGATGTTTGATGTTTGCGTATGTTTGCGTAGTATCTATGGTGGCTTGAAAGTTTCAGGGATTTCAGCACTGTAAGGGATCACAACAGTCTTCAAAGTTTATGGGAAAGACGAGAATTCAGGAGCTTTTTATACAGGACTATATATGTCGTAGAAAGTATGTTTGTAAGATTCCCCCTGGAAAATGTCGGAAGTCGGAGAATTGACTAGGCTGCAAGGCTGAGTAGACCTTGTGGACTCCAGATGTCCAGGATGGGATATCCATGGAGGTCAAGTAACCCGTAGGTCCTTTGTACACACGTGTACAACAACATATACTCCGTACACATACACACATAATATGGAATTTTCAACAGGGCCCGTCTATCCTACAATTCCATACCTTCCAAGGCAAATTGAAAGAAAAGAAAAGAGAGAAAAGAGAGAAAAAAAAGCCCCCAAACCTCCCAATTCAGTGCCAAGCGTAAACAAAAAGGCCGAACACGAGCTTATCGATAAACTGATCGGCGCTTCTGCTTTTTCCGACCGCGCGGATCATAAACATTGGACTTCAACTTGGTTACAAAGGATTTTGTTTCTTCCCTGGCAGTCAAAATGCTGGACTGGATCAAGGGGAACGAGCAAATTGCACAGGCTACAGGTGTGATGATTACTTTGACCTTGGAAGCTCTTCACTCTAACATGATGCTACAGATGACTCCAAGCTGCTAGAACCCCCTGAGACCCCAGGCCATGTCTTTGCCATTCGTGCTTTCAAGAGCGCTCTATTTGGCACTCCGGGAGTAGAGGAAGATGAAAACAACGCGTCCCAAAAACAGTCCAGTCACCAACGAAGCAAGAGTGACACGACAAAATTAGCACCAACAGAGATCAAGACCGACGCGAAACCAACCGACGCGACTTACAACCCCACGGGATCCCCTACGAAAAGCATACTTGTTACACCCGGGACTGCGTTGCGTCGTAAGACCGTATCCTTTGGCGAAAGTGTCATCGACAATGAGGGGAAACGCCCTGGCTCGGCCAGTAAGCCAGCCAAGACTCCGCCAAATCCCTCCGGGACCCTCAGTACCCAGTGGATGTCCGGATCATCAGATGGAAGTGGCAAACCGAGAAGCAAACTCACACAGACACTCATGAATGCACGCGATAACGCATCCAAGAACTCCGACCCGGCCAAGTCTGATGAGAGCACAGGAGAAACGAAATCGGTCATAGTCCCGGGGTCAAAGGATGGCCTCGACAATGAAGATATCACTCTCAATCTGGAGGACCCCCACTCAGAGTCAGGCAAGTACTGGAAAACCGAATTCGACAATTACCGTGTGAAGACCAATCGAGAGATCAAGAAATTGATCCAGTACCGGTCGATTGCCAAATCCTACGCTCGGAAGAAGGATACTGAAGCTATGCGGCTGGCCGACAAGCTGAAGGAAGAAGAAGAAAAGGTCGCCGAGATGGAAAGGCAGGTGTCACGGCTTGCTTCTTCGATGGTCGGGGAGGGATCGACGGGCGATAAGGAGCACTTGCTTCAAGGTTTGACCAAGCAAACCGCCCTTGCATTACAATACAAGCAGCAAGTTACCTCGCTGCGCAACACCTTGGAACGACATGATGTCGTAAGTGATGCAGCAAATATCACGCAAAAGAATAAGGAAGAACTGCCTCCAAACGCCCAAACGGACGAGCTTCGCAAAACACAGCAAGAATTGGAACAAGCCAATGCCAAGATAGAGGAGATGAAAACCCAGCAGTCCGAACTCAACACACTCCAGGACCTCGCGCAAAGTTCGGAAAAGAAAGCTCAAGCACTCGAGAAAGAGAACAACACTCTGAAACAAACGCTGGCCCGTGTGAAACAGGAAATGTCTCGATACGAAGGTCGGCGAAAGGACAAGGAAACAAGACTGAAGCAGAGAGAGGCCAGACTGGAACAGCGGATCCAAGAGTACAGAGAAAAACTCAAAACGGTCTCCCAAGAGCACCGTTCCTCGGAGGAGAGCCTAAGAAATACTTCCGATGCAGAGCGCCGCCACATGCAGAAACAGATCGACCTTCTGAAGCTGCGACTTGGTTCTACTGAACGCTTCCCGGCGCTGCCATCCACAGATCGGCAATTTCTAAGTCCTCGCAAGGACCACACCGGCGTGCAGGTGTTTGACTTTGCTGGCCAGGATTCCACCGGTCAGGATCTTGAGAAACCTGAAGAAGAACCCACCGAAGATATAGAGCTTCCACCAAGCCCGAGTCCACGTTCCAAAGTACGCGATTCGCGACCTACTTTGCGCAGTGCCACATTGGGTACGCTTGGTCCGAGGCCGAATGTCCGGGATATGGCCGCAAACGACGACGAGGTCACACATTATTTGAACGAAATCCTACTAAAACCGCGGCACGAATCCAATAACAATGCCGTGTTGGATGAAATTCCTCCATCCTCCCCTCCCGATATCTCAACCCTAAGGTCGCTGAATCGCACGTTCTCAAGACGCCGACTCGGTGAAGGCCAGCGGACCTATCGGAATCTAAACCTCCCTGCTGAAGACGACACTCGACTCAGCAACCGACAGGCACAACGTGAACGTACCCACATCAAATCTACCCTCGATTCAATGTCAGGCCTCCCGTCTCGCGGCCGTTATTCGGGGTACACCGTTTCAGCGGGCGAACGCGTGGGCAAGCGGTACGGGTTAACTGATATCCAGCGTGGAGCTCTCTCTCCTGAACGAGCTGCCGATGCCCAGTCACGGCTCAGGCAGAAGGACCGTCGGAAAATCAAAGCACCTGGAAAGGAGAATGTTTGATGTCTTTGTTATGTTCGGATCTGCTTTCTGATTTGGAAATAAGGAGTGACTTTTGGAGCATAATAGGCCGGTGTTTGGATTCATAAGCGTTACTCTTTCCATCCCCTTCTTGCTATCTACATTTTCAGCGAACATCAATTGTCGAATTATTACTCAACCACTGACTATTTATTCTCTCAATCCGAACCGCTCGTAGGCACTGTGCCAATCGCTGAACCAATCGTCTCTCATGGCAAGCCTCTTTGCTTGTACCTAGCTATTGCATCATTTTATCACACTTATTCACAATCTAGATTAGATATTAACTCGTCAACTTCCAGCTGTGACCTTTTTACTACTCTATTTCATCTACAAACGTTCCGTATTGGCATATCCACCCAGTGTACGCAGAATTCAAAGTCTGCCATAAAACACCGTCGCTCATACCTAGTGCGCTCTCAGGCCTTGCCATCAGAAAGCGACACGACGGCCCATTTCCCGCCCCAGGCCCACTTGCGAGACTCAGAGCCACCGCCCCCAGGCAAAGCGCGGAGCTTCTCGTCCTCACCAGCGGGGAGACCAACAACGGGATCAGCCTTGCAAGTACGGAAGGCTAGAACACGGATCCCGGACTTGGGGCCAAGCGGGCCAATGGCTTCCGTGAAAAGAGTGGTGGGGTCCCATTGAGCCTATATATGATTAGCGAGAACCCCAGAGCAAAAGAAACGCAAAGAACGCCGAACTTACATCATTGACCAACTTCCGATAGTTCAAGTCGCCCTTGAATAAAACAAGCTCACTCTCCTTCAAATCTTCGAACAACTCCGGTGCCACATACGGCATGCGCCAGAAACCGCCTGGGGTTGTCCAGAAAGCGTGCGGGCGCAGGATCAGCTTACCATCCTGGTGGAACTGGCTCCACTGCTCAAAGAGGAATTGCACGTTTGAAACTTCCTTCTCGGAAAGAGGGGGAATGTCTTGCCCGAATCACCGGCCGCTGTGTAAAAGGCCTGCGGGTCGACCATGCAGTTGAGCAGATCGGAGAAATCCTTCGGCGTGACATCTGACACGAACCATGGCATGCGCTTGGGGTGGAGCACGACGCTAGTCGCCAGTCCGACAGACAGCAAGTATCCAGCGAGAATTAGGTCAACGAATAACTCAAATCCGGAGTTGTCTAGGACGATGTCGACGCGGCGCTCGCCGTCCTTCTTCTCTCTCCGCGCCTTTTGCATCGCCTCGAAAGCAGCATCGAGGTCGTTGACAATGATATTCTTCTGCGACGCCTTGCGCGCCTCGGAGCCCTGTAGTTTTTGGATGTCCTCGTAGGTGAGAGATGTCAGAAGTGACAGATCGGTGGCATTACCCCACAAGCAGATCTCGCACATCTCTGAGAAGAGAAGCCTCTCTGCCTCCTCGATCTCTTCGGGCGACTTTTTTTCTCTTGCTTTTCCCGACTCTGCCTCTGTCGCTAATTCACGATATCTCGCTGCGAGTTCTAGTACGGCGGGACGGGACGACTTGAATGTATCCATCTTCTGGCGGGCGAATACGTCATAGCCCTTCCAATGTTTAGACAATGCGAAGAGGGCTTCCATGCGGCGGTCTATGGTGGTCGTATGATCAGTATTGCGGCATTTTATCTCATTTCCTGTTGAATTGGGCTTTGTGCTTACAAAGGTAACACTCTGAGTAGAGCCAGGCCACATCGTGCCATTGGGGGTTTCCGCGCTCCTCCAGCTCCTTGTTATACGAGGCGATATCTGGATGTCCGTCATCATCCAGGGGACTAGCCGCAATAGAGATGTTAGATGAAGCTCTTCTGGTTCTGGCATAGACGATAAAAGGACTCACGTGAGTTGTCGGTTATGTTGAAGCTCATACTTCAACTTGGCCAAGTTGGCAATAATACTTTTGCCTTCATTTGCCTTCTCGCCGTCATCGATGCCTACAACGGTGCGGTGGAGGTCATCAATGGCACCAGTCTAGAGTCGTCACATATATTCAGCAATTGATCCCCGGATTATCGAATGTCTGCTGCAAGCTCACGATGATGACAGGCCACCGCTCATTGGCCGAGATCGAGGCGAAGCTCGAGTTGTCGGAGGTGAGGTATTGGGCTGCTCAGGTTAGCCCATTGTATTTATGGACGAGCAACAATACTTACGGGTCTTAGGATCGAATTCCATGACTGCTATGCAAGATGTATCTAGACCGAGGGCAAAAAGAAGTCAAGGTGGCAGAATCGAGGGGACGACGCGGGGCAAAAGCGGTGTGGATCATACAGTATACAGTTGGCGACGTCAGAGCTACTCGGAATACATCGCTCATGCACATAAATACATTTGAAACATCAATTCTAGGTAGATCTCTTAGGCAACGCCACGCTTCAAAATCAAATATGCCCTCACATTCCCGAAAGAATGGAGTTATTCGCGTATGCCTGGGACAGTTAGCTGGGCGAACTTCATTATGTTGATGATTGAAGGTCATTAATCTTACCATTGGCTTGATATCGGGGTGTGGCACTGCCTCGAAGACTTCATATGCAAGTTTGAGTTCAGGGCCGATGTTGATATAAGCACCCTTATTTTCAGTCGCGTCGCAGTACTTGGGGGCGGAAAAGACAGTGATACAACGACCATCGTGTTCAACCTCGTAACCGCCCATCCGCACCTCGTGGGAGCGAATGACAGCCTCCAGGCCGTTGTTTTCACAGAAGCGCTTGGTCACATCAGGGCCAAATTGGAGACCGACACCGCGTTTGCTGGGACCGCGACCAGCCTCGGTTTGCGGGTCTGTCCAGAGCATCTCCATCATCAGGCCCGCTTGGCCAGGCTGCCGCTGGTTGTGGCGGTTGAGCTTGCGGATATCATCCAACTTGATCTTGTCATCGGAGAAGAGACCACCGTGCAGGACAAGGTACTTGTCACCAATCAAGGTAGCCAGTGGCAGGGCCGAGAAGGACTCGGAGAACACCTTGAAGACCCGCTCGTTATATTTAGCCTTGCATTCGCCTTCGAAGCCGTAAACCTTATTCATATCATCCGTCTCGTGGTTTCCACGGTTAAGGAAAAGACCGTTGGGACGCAACCACTTGTATGCATATAGCAGCAATGCAATTTCGCAGGACCAGGAGCCACGGTCAACAAAGTCGCCGTTGAAGAGGTAGGCGTGGGTATCGGAGGGAGTACCGTTTCGTCGGAAAATCTCGAGCAAATCGAAGTATTGGCCTTATTCAATCAGCAACTGTTCCACTCGCCCACTTCGGACAATACATACCGTGCGTATCACCGCAGACTGTCAGCTTCTTGCCCGATTCCACGCCAATTTCCACCATAGTAGGCTCATTGTATACCAGATCCTTGACAGCCTTGATGATCTGGAAGACATATTTGCGATGGATCTTCTTTCCATCCTTAAAGCGCTCAATCATATCATCTATGAACTCCTGTGACATTTCCTCGCCAAGGCGCACACCGTCATAACCGTCCTCAACATTGATAGCATCAATGTCCAAATCCGCAAAAGCAGAAGGCGGGTCTGCGATCTCAATGGCCCGCTCGAACTCTCTGCGGCGCACGAGCTTCTCACACTCGGCAGCCTTCAATTTGGCATTCTGGTTGCCCGGTTCGCGTTTAACCACGGCCTTGAAGTCCTTCAAGGCCTCCTTGTAGCTTAGAATGGCGGTGTTGGCGAGGGCACGTCTCCAGTAAGCCTGTGTGATAAGAATGGATTTAGCATATATCTCCACTACTTCCCGATCTGCAGGCACAAGTTGTCTCTCTTTCCGGGTAAGAATACCGACTAACCTTCACATAGTTGGGATCTAATTCGATTGCCTTAGTGGCGTCCGCAATAGCAAATCCGAAGGCTTCAAGCTTAATTTGAGCCTGTGACACCAAGCAAAACAAGACCGTTAGCTATGTCAATCGTAATGAACGTGTACGCGCCTCTTGGGAATGTGCCACCATGATCATCGGGAACATACCTGGGCCCGGTTGGAGAAAAAGGAAGGATCCTTATCAAATTTGGCAATAGCCTGGTTATAAAAATCGACTGCGACAGGCCAGTCGTGTTGAGCGAAGGCCTTGTTTCCCTGCACCTTAAGCGCAGTGGCCACTTCTTGGTCGGTAGCCATTTGGGGCGGAGAGAAAAAGCGAGGGGCACGAGACAGCGATTATCGGTGCGAAACAAGGGCGCGGAGGAAAAAGGTGAGGATTATACGGTTCGTGAAAGAAAAGACACAAAAGTCAAAAAAAGAATAAAACTCCTCCAAATCTACTATAGACTAAGAGAGAAGAAAGATTAAGAAGAAAGCGTGGTCAAAAAAAAAAAAAAAGAGAGAGAGAGAGAGAAGAGGGTCTTGTTCCTGCTTCTCCCATGTTCTTTTTCCCCAATCGCAACGGGTCTTGGCATCGATCCAGACTTGACGGCTAACTCCCATTCATAGCTTTCTTTCTCTCTTCACATCCCTCAAATCTCCTCCACATGTCTTTCTACGCTCCTCCAAACCAGCAGCGCACGCTGCGCGCCTGTATGGTCTGCTCTGTCGTCCAAATTCACAATGTAAGAACGACTCCCCATCTCAGTTCCGCGGGCGACTCTAACGACCCCGATTTCTCTAGAAATTCATGCGTGAAGGCTGCCCAAATTGCGAGAGCACCCTCCAACTCCGTGGGAACAATGATGCTATTCAAGAATGCACGTCACAGGTCTTCGAAGGCCTGATCGCTGTTCGGGATCCCGCTGCGAGCTGGGTCGCTCGTTGGCAACGGTTGGATAACTACGTGCCGGGTACATATGCGACCAAGGTCACGGGGACAGTGAGTACATACTTGACTATTAGAGAGATGGGACTTTTATCAAGTACAGAATGGCTAATTGTGTATTTCCCTTAACAGCTTCCGGAATACATTATCAACAGTCTAGAGGACTCTGGCATTAAATATGTCCCGTACGTGTTCCTCAATTCCACCGTTTCTGACATATCTCCCTTATCATACTAACGGTTGCTTATTCCAGACGAGACGGAAGCACCGGAGAGGAAGATGCATGAAGCAGCTACCCTCAAGTCTTTAACGCTACACGAACCCACCCTTGTCCATACAGTCTTAGTTCTGGATACCCCTGCGGCGCACACACCATTGATTCGATCAAGACATGCAATATGAGGGTGGTTTCGACAATTTTGCTGGTCGTTCGGAGTTTCGGATGGGAAGCATTACCTACTTTTCTTCATATTATTTATTGGACTACAAGGGCATACAGAGTATATTTAGATTACTTCTTAGGAGTTTATAGTTCCAGTTTCTTCAGCTGGGGACATAAAGATAGGGAAACAGCTTGCAGAGTAAATGTCTCTACCTCGGTCCAATTATTCGGTTTGAGTCATATCAGCACAATGTGCAGGAATATGCGTGGCATTTTGTATTGACATAAGGTCGTTGCAGAAAGCGGGGAGAGATGAAATCTCCAAAAGAAAAAAGAAGGGGGAACAATAGAGAAAAGGGAAAAAAACGCTAATAAGCCAATTTGAAAACGCCCGGGCCCTTTTAAATGTCATTGCCAGAATTTGTTTATAGGACCTGCACGATCTGCTCGATCTTCTCAAGGAGGATATCGGCTACAGGAGAAGATACATTAGTAAATGACTCTTGGACACAAAGGAAAGAGGACGTTGACATACCGTGGTGCTTCTGGAAGACCAGCATAGGGCGCAAACGGATGGCAGAAGGGCCACTGCCACCGATGTTGACACCGAAAGACTTGGCCTTGGCGACAAATTGGTCACGCTTGGGGGTGTCCCAGGCGATGAAGGTACCCTGGTTCTTACCACGGAGGTTCTGGAAGTGCTCGGGATACTTCTCGGAGAGACGGGTGAGGCCACCATAGAGGTAGTCACCAGTGATGCGTGTGTTCTCGACGAGGCCGAGACGCTCGACCTCCTCAATGATTCCGCGGTAGATCAAGGCGCGGGCTGGATCTCCCATCCAGGTGTTGAACTGGCGGTAAGGCTTGTTGGGGCGGAGAGCGGGGTTACCGAAGTAGTAACCGGCAGTCTGGGCCTTCTTGGAGAAGGTGACCATGTCTGGGGGAGAGGACAGGTTCCAGTGGTCGTGGGCCCAGAACTTACCGGTGGCACCAACACCGGTCTGCACCTCGTCGACGATGAAGAGGACCTTGGTGCGCTTGGTGATATCGCGGAGACCCTGGAAGAAGGCAGGCGAAGCGTGGTTGTCACCACCCTCGGACTGGATGGGCTCGACCATAACGGCAGCGACGGGGTTGTGGAACTCCTTAATGAGGCGCTCAACCTCAGCCAAGCAGCGCTGCTCCTCGGCGGCGTTCTCTTGGACGTGGTCTTCCAGCGGGTACTTCAGCTGGGGGAAAGAGGCCTGGGGCCAGTCAAAGGCGGGGATATCCAGCTTGTGGATGGCCTTGCTGCGGGTGGTGGACAGGGAGCCGAAGAGACGGCCGTGGAAGGCAGACTTGAAGGAGAGAATAGACAGCTGGGGCGAGCCGGGACCCTGGTTGTTCATGGTGGAGAGCATCTCCTCCTCGGTGAACTCGACCTCGGGGCCACCACGCTGCAGCTGGCGGTAGTACATGAAGGCCGCCTTGTAGGCAGTCTCGTTGGCATCGGAGCCAGCCATGGCGGTGAAAACCTGGTCCAAGCCCTTAGGAGCAGCACGGAGGGCGCCAGTCTTGAGAATGTGAGCCCAATCCGAGGAGGGGAAGTTACCCAGGGCCGGGCGGTTAATCAGGGCGCAGGCCATCTCGGGGGAGGCGGCAACCTTCTGGAGGTGGGGGGTTGTTGTATCCAACAGGAATGGAAGCAATCTGAGCATACCTACTGGGGTCAGCTTTTTTGTTTCCAATTGACTTGTGGTTGGTGACTTACACATCAAGAAGCTTGTTTCCATCGAGATCAGCGATACTAGAGACGGGGTTAGTTGAGTCTTGATGGTGGATTGAGATCTGTCATACTAGTTTCCAACGGACTGGTTGTAGTCAGTCAGCATGTTCAAGCTGCGAACATCGAAGACCTCGTCGAGCTCGGTGGCAGCGGCCTGGTTCTTAGGTCCGGGGATTGTCCCCGAGACGGAGGGTGCGGTAGGCTCATTGGGGAAGTAAGACTTCTCCGCTGCACGCAGACCGGCAGTGGTAGAGAGAGCGCGAGCTGCTGGGAGCCGAACTGTAGAGCGCAACCGTGTGCTGGCACGGAAGACCGAAGACATTTTGATTTTGATGTGAAGGGATAGAGGGGACAAGATAAGTGGTGCGGGGATAGAATAGCGGGTCTAATGAGCTATCCGGTGTAAGAGAAAGGGACCTTGATCAATCAATATGGTCAAGTGGAAGAGAGCAACGGATGCGGGACGGATGAAAAGAGAGATGAAATAGAATGGAAGACCAACAGGCGCAGGGGGGCTTTATACCAGGTGCAGTTGGAGTATGTTATCGGTCTTATCCTGGAGCTCCATAGCTTCTCCCCGCGTATATTTCTTTTTGTGTCGGTGATATTGACCAATCAGGAGCTGTTCTCGACAGCGAAACGCCGAGTATCCGATGGGGATCTGGACGAATTGAGAAAGTCTACGCTGGTGGATTCTTGGTCAAATCTATAGGGTAACAGTTTCCATTTGGACGTCCACGGAGGTCTATTGCATTTGTCTCAATTGGGGTTGAGTTACGCCCAGAGTGAAAAGTGACTCTGGAGTCAAGGTCGTGTGTCCCTGCTGTAGATCATTCCGGTGCGATAAGCTAATTTGGGTCTTGGCATCGTTTCTTATCTGCTACATCTCCCTCCATATGATGTCTTGACTATAGCAAAGTGCGGAGGTCAAGAATGGGGGCTTTCACCGCAATTTATGGTACATACATATGTAGTCCATTCACTTTTATGTGACAACGCATTGGCTTAATTGATCGTAGTTTGTTCGGCAAACTGGAAGTCCTGTAGAATGTTGACATATATATATATTGATAGACAATCCTAGTAAACACGCAATATAAAACTATATTCGCTTATTTTTACTAATGAAAACATAGAGAATATAATGTTAGATAAATCAACGTCAACAATAAGAATCAAGACCATATTCCCTATGCTGGTCTGAATGGAATTTGGTTGGTAACTTGGCCCTAATTATGACCAAAAGTTGGTTTTGGCTCTTAATGCATTAATCTTGACAATTAACCAATCAATTGGGCTTGTGGTTTAGTGGTATAATACTCCCTTAGCATGGGAGTGGTCCGGGGTTCGATTCCCCGCGAGTCCATTTTTTTGCCTCCTCAATGATGAGGTCCAAATATTTATATTTATATTTATTTTGCAAGTCGAATACAGCTGGTCAGACAGCGCGCTGATATCACTTTTCCTTTCTTGGTTGCATGGTAAAGCCCAGTATTGGGATATCAAGCAATAAAAAGCCAATGTTCTCACAGGTTCAGTTCGTTAAGAGGTGGTGCTAATGACGCCAAAGTGGAGGGTTAAATATTGTTCGATATTAATTGAACTTGACTCTTTTTACTCGGTTAGTTTTCCGTTTTCCGGTTCAGTTTGAAGTTGATAATTTGGAAAATGGCCCCCGAGATCGTGTTTTATATCCAGATCTATATTGTATGAAGTATCCGTTCTAGCACGTTAAAATCATCCAGGCTAAAGTTACATAAATGTTCATAAAAAAAAGAAAAGAAGAAAAGAAGAAAAGAATGTACCGAGACAGTGCGGTTAACGCGATTGCCGATCGTCGAAATGAGAATGCGTATCGCTTGGACCAGACGCAGAGGAGCCAACACTCATAGGGGAGGCATAAACCATGCTCATCTTTATATCAATGCTATCTACAGGGTTGAGCGCACGGCCGTGGTTATTAAATGTGATATCATAACCGTGTCCCATCTTATCAGGGCCTGGCAGTCGTGACTCAGTCCAGCTCTCCATCTCGACAGTGCGCATAATCTCAAATCGATCGCTGTTGTAGCCGGAAGGGTGTGAGTCATCAGCAACAAGACGGGATGTTTGAGAGCGGCTGGTTGAATACCAGAGCTTGTGGGTGCGAGTCCGTTTGTAGGAGGAGCCAATGTTGCGGGTTGAGCTGAGGAGACGAGGTAGGAAGGCTGCAATGAGGGGTCGGAGGGCTGGTGCTGAAGAACAGATCTGTTGGTTATTAGCATTGATCATCTCTAGTAGTCAGAGTGGTGTTGGGTCTCTTACCAATCCCAGGCTGAGTTCCACTGCGGCAGTGATCAGACCCGGCCATCCAACCCAGGTCCCATCATAGCCGGTCATCATACTCTTCCACGCATATACGGTTCGTACACAGCCGGCTACGTTCACCACGATACCGAGAGCGAAGATGGAGATAACGGCAAGTCGTTGACGAGCGGGGAGTCTCAGACTCCAGATTAATGGCATCGGTAGAGCTGTGACCAGTAAATCGGTAAAGATGTTGATCACACTGGCGGAGAAGACAATCGCACCATCATCCATGCAGTGGTATGACTCGGTGTTAATTTCCCAGTATGCGTGGATAGGTCTATAGGGTACATTAGCAACGAATCGAGATCATGACACAAGACGACCAACTCACGAGCACTGAAAGATACTGATGACAATGAACAGCACACTAGAACCCGCAACGAAAACGATGGATAGAAGAAATGCCCAGTTATATAGCGCAAAGTTGACCTTCCCGATGAGTCGTCGACAGAAGCATAGTAGAGAGATCTTGATGAAGCAGGACGACACTAAGAACAATAGTTGGAAGCAGAGGTTCAGCTTCCGGACAGCGATGAACCGATCCGATTCAATATCCCAGATATGGCGGTTCATGCCCCATTGTTCAGTGGCGATGGAGGTGATGACTGCCATTGCGATGGCGAATATCAGACCAACGACAATAAGCACATCGTCGACACCGGCACTGCATGTGATCCAGAGCCTGGTGTATAGACGGAGGGAGACGATTAGGAAGGCCAAGGGTAGACAGACGACGTTAACAATAAGGACGCCGTGCCCGCGCGTTGGAGGGTCGATATAGTTTGGGGTTGGCCATGACTCCGCGATGATGGGTGGAGGGAATCTCATGATCTTATCCGTGTAAGGAAGAAGAGAAATTATAATTTGGGGTATCAATGTGCAAATGAAATAGAATAGGTAAGCGTGCCTAGACAAGTGGAATCGCCATAACCCAAGATAGCAATGGGGGAAGTTGAAGATCAAGGAATGAAAAGAGCGAAGAGAGCCAATTCATACGAGTTTATTGCGTGCATACGTAGATCAAAGATGAAACACCCCGCTAGAGACATAGACATGCAGGAGATATAATGTACAGGGATTTATAGAACCATAAGTACGAAGTAGTAGACCAAAGAACATATGAATATGAGCCCTAGATGCAGAAACACGAGTCAAGACTCCATGCCATATCAAGAATGGTAACATGGCCGAGGGTTTCGGCCGAGGGTTTCAGTGTGGAGTTGGACAGTGATAGGGTAGATCCAGAGCCCCCCCTAGTTCCATCTTCGGCCCCACTGTGCCTTTGGATTTGTGATCTGTCCAGGCCAGACCTGTGAGAGGTTAAATATAATAGCGTGTGAGAGAGAGCGACTCCTGGCTCACTTCAGGTACGCAGGACTGCAGGTTAGTGGAAAGCTAAACAAATTGATCCCGTGGGAGTACTCGACGGAGTACTCGACGGAGACCGATGCCAGGTGACCCCGAGGGGTAAGCCGAGGTATGAGCCGAGACTTAGGTACGTACATTGATGAGATGTTGGACTTTTTTTTAATTTACCTTGGATGAAGTGATAATAAAGACTACTAGTAATTCCAATGGGACTAAATGATATTAAATAAGTGTGTAACTAATCACTACTCCGTACTTAATGCGTATAAACTAACTACTATACTATAGTTTAACAACCCCCACGAGGGGTCACGGAAGGCCTTTTTTGTCCCGTTCTCCACTTTGCTTTCACACTACTAACACAGTTAGTTAGCATTCAACTCTGACTTTGTAATAAGGAGTATTAGAATCATATATATATATATCCCTGGCACATGCAAATTGATGAAAGAAGCCTGATTTAAAGATAAGCTTAATAAAAATTGCGTTTTGCTCTTTTACAATTGCACTTAAAATTGGAATCTGTAGAGTGTAATTCTCATATAAATTGATATTTTTTAAATAGTGTATGCTGATATTTCTTGAAGAATGAAAGAATACCCAAGAGTATACTTTTGGGCTACTTTTTGACATTTTAATTTGAAGACCTGACATGTCCTAGTCTTACTCTCCCGCTTGATACTTACCTACCTAGTTAGGTATGTAAGTATCTTTGAAAAGTTGGATTACTACTAATAACTGAGTCTCTAGAGCAACAGCCTCTGGTAGTAACAAAGCCGTGCACCAAGTGAAGACTTGGAAACAATGACAGGGGGTTACTTGGTATAGACTCAAAGCCTGGGGATATGCTTTTATACCACGCTCCTCTAAAGTGGTGCAACGTTCTTATACCTTGAGCAATCTTCCAGACGCCTTTTGTTGTTTTTCTCTGTTAACTGTATAAGCTGAAATACTTCACCTCGAAGCCATCGACAGCGCTCGCATCTAAAAACTGCATCTTCAAGGCCGTCTTCAGATAAGCTGGTGTTCTGTCCAAGGGCGTTGTATCCCTGCACTGATCCGAGGAACTAACCCTAAGGTGCTTCCAAGGTTAGATTACAGGCTCAGTGGTAAATGGGAACCAGGCGCTGGGGCTGATGGATTCTTATAGATGTAGCACCTGTACAGTCACACGAAGGGCCAACATGGCTGTCAATCGAGAGGTTTTTGGGTTGTCTGACAAACTTCTTTAATCTCTTACCCACGTACTGGCGTACGTAAAATCACATAAGCCCACACATAATCCCAAACGTCTTTCTCCTATTTTGACTGCCATTTGCGTTTGTTTTCAAAGTTATTTTAGTTTGCTTCTCATCCATCGTGACTTTGTCTCCTCCACCTTCTCAAACCTTGAGCCACATTCAGAGCTTGAGTACATTCCATCAACTTTCACAACAACATCAACCACAGCCTTTCTGCTTGGCTTTTCTCCATCAAGAGAAAGCCGCCAAGCATAAAAATGCCCGATCCAATCGGAAATGACGCGGTTGGGGGTATGTAACCACAAAATGACCACCATTCTATTCCAAGCTCTGGTACTGACTCGTCAACTAGAATGACTGAGAATGTCACTGGGGAGTAAGTAACACAGCATGACTCCGTGCTAGTTGAAGCGCCTCTTGTCTTTGACTTCATGCCAAACTAATATGCAATAGGATCAAAAACCCCCTCGCCGGGATCCCCCACGGCCAGCTTATGGCTAATGTGACGGCGTATGCTACCGAATACGACCTTGAGGAGATCTTACCCCTCTTGAAGAAAGGTGCTATGGTGGCCCAGTCCCCAGCGGGGATTGAAGGAATCTCCGAACTTGATGATGATGACCGGCGTGTTCTTTACGAAGAGAACACTCGGCGCTGGAAACACCCATTTGCGTTGTACTACACCATCGTTCTAAACTCGATCTCGGCAGCCATTCAAGGTTGGGATCAGACTGGTTAGAATGATATTCCGTCCAAGCATTCAGGTCTCGTCTTGACTAACGATTCTCATAGGCTCGAACGGTGCTAACCTCACCTTTGATGTCCAATTTGGTATTCCGAATAACTCGCCTCAATGTCCTGACCCGGAGACTTGCAAACGTAACCAGTGGATTGTCGGTTTTATCAATGCGACCCCATACATCACGATCTGTCTACTGTGAGTAATAAAGTTTTTCTACCATTCAAGCAATCTTCTAACGCATATACCACCCTACAGTGTTGCTTGGCTCTCTGATCCCATGAATCATATTCTCGGCCGTCGTGGAACCATCTTCCTGGCCGCAATCTTCAGTCTCCTATCCCCGCTGGGCTCCAGCCTCACTCAGAATTGGGGTCAGCTCGTTGCCTGTCGTGTTCTTCTCGGAATTGGCATGGGTCTCAAGGAAGTCACCGTCCCTGTTTACTCGGCTGGTAGGTGCTTTTGATCTTATAAATCCCCTACTGTCACGAGTACCATACTAATGCTCATAACCCAATAGAAAACGCACCCACAAACATCCGTGGCGGCCTAGTTATGTCATGGCAGCTTTGGACGGCCTTTGGCATCTTCCTCGGAACGTGCGCGAACCTCACTGTGGCCAACACTGGTGATATTTCTTGGCGACTACAGCTAGGCTCTGCCTTTATTCCAGCTGTGCCATTGCTTCTTGGTATCTGGTTTTGCCCCGAGTCTCCACGATGGTTGATGACCAAAAAAAACCACAAGAAGGCCTTTGCGTCTCTTCTTAGACTGCGCAATAGCCCTCTACAGGCTGCCAGGGACCTGTATCGGATTCATGCCCAGCTGGAGATGGAGAAGCAGTTGATTGCTAAGTCGGGATTTTCCAAGAAGGACAACATGTTTGTTCGTTTTGTCGAATTGTTCACGGTGCCCCGTCTGCGTCGTGCCGTCCAAGCTTCGGGCATTGTGATGATCGCCCAGCAGATGTGTGGAAGTAAGTATAAAACTCGAGTCCGGGAAAGAATTGAACTAACCATATATACTCGCCTTTTAGTTAATATCATCTCGTTCTACTCCTCGACTATCTTTCAACTGGCCGGTGCTTCCAACATTAAAGCACTTCTTGCATCATTCGGGTTCGGCCTTATCAATTTCGTGTTCGCTTGGCCCGCCGTGTGGACGATTGATACATTTGGTAGACGAGGCTTGCTACTTTTCACCTTCCCACAGATGTGTTGGACACTTCTCGCAGCTGGGTTCTGTTTCTGGATTCCGACAAGCAGCAACGCGCACATTGGTTTGATCGCATTCTTCATCTACCTCTTTGACGCATTCTATTCTCCCGGCGAAGGACCTGTTCCGTTCACCTACTCTGCCGAGGTGTTTCCATTGTCCCACCGTGAAGTTGGAATGGCCTGGGCAGTTGCAACTAACAACTTCTGGGCTGCTGTTATCTCGCTGACTTTCCCATGGATGTTGCGAGCATTTACTCCGCAAGGTGCCTTTGGATTCTATGCAGGATTGAATCTCATTGCGTTTATGATGATATTCTTCTTCATGCCAGAAACCATGCAGCGCTCCCTCGAGGAATTGGACTATGTGTTTGGCGTCCCGACCCGAACTCATGCCAAGTACCAACTCACCAAGGTTCTCCCGTGGTGGATTAAGAGGTATGTGCTAATGCGCAAAGATGCAATCTGCCCCGAACTTTACCAGGTCACCCAAGATTATGCTGTAGCCCCCGGAACCGTTGGTGTTCCCGAGAAGCATGCGATGGCCGATGAGAATGAGCGTCACGCCGAACACGTTTGACCTTTGATGGGAGCTCAAGATACAACTTATGATCTACAAGATCTGATTACTGCTGGTTCTATTTTTTTCTTCTATTTTTTGCTTCATTTTTCGATTTCGTATGGAATCTGTTTCCCGTGGATTTCCGAGAGGAAGTTCCTTTAGTGCTCAACTATGACCGTCTTGGCCTTTTTTTATCAATCAGTTTTTAGTTTACTTCAATCAATTTTACTCAATTCTTTCTTCATTCCACTTCCACCACAATTATATATGTAGTATTTATTGGCTTGATCGCAACTAGAAATGTCCTGCTCATATTCCTTCCTTCGCCTCATTGCAAGCAAAACCCCGGGTTCGCGCAAAATGTTCAACCTCCACATCCCTTGTTATGTGAAGCCAAACTCCTCTGCTCGCCGTACAGGTGTTATAAACGTGGGTATTGATAAAATCGAGATTTCCGTGGCTGCTGTTCCACGCGACGGGGCAGCTAATATTGCAGTGTCGCACGTCGTCGCAGAGGTTAGAATTACCCTGGACCTGTCTTCCTACTCCCCGTCTTGTCTATGGAATAAAGTCGCAAATTTTTGTCTGACCATTTATTAGATCTTCAAAGTTCCAAAATCAAGCGTCCAGGTTATTCGTGGCGCGAAATCACGAGAGAAAACGTTGTGTGTTGCTAACCTGGAGATCGGAGACGGCGAAGAAGTATACTTGCAGCGTGCGATACAAATATTAAAGGCCGCTGTCGAGACACGAAACTCATAGCATGAAATTCGAGTCTACAGCCTGTTTGTTCCTACTCGCTGGCTTATGTTTTTGACATTATTCTTTGATCCCGTGACGCAAAATTCCGTCGCTGTTTTTTTTTGCGGAGCTCCCGCCGAACATCAACCTCCGACCCCCCGAACAGTTCAGAAATCAGCAAGAATGACAGAGGATACACACGGCGATATGGAAATTGACACTAATGTCCCTTTAACGGAACCTACGAAGCGCAAAGTGCCAGAACCAAAACCAAAGACTCTCCATTTCACCTCGCGCAACCCACCCTGGACATACCTCAAGCTCAAGCTGTAAGCTATCCCTCGACTTTTCTTCTCAGGGAGAAACTTCCCCTCGAAAATCAAACTAACCTTGATACCTTAGTGTCCCCCAACCGGGAAGTGCACCACAACCCCTCGATCCCCTCTCCGCACGAACCTACCTCACCTCCGCATTATCGCAATTCCTCGGCCTGACAGGAACAGCCATTCCGATCGACATACTGAAAATCGAGAATGAATCTTCGTCAACCCCGAAACGTGATATCGTGTGGATTCGCGTTCCTCGCGAGGATGCCTCGTCTGTTGTGGGCGCAGTGAGCTCATGGATTGGCGGCGGAAATAATTCGTCGAGCTCTGGGGATGTTGCTTGGAGAGTCTGTGCCAAGGGAAACTTCCTAGGTGCTCTGGTTGCCGGATCTGGGGCTGATTTGTTCGTCCCCTAGGCTTGTGGGTTGTACTTCTGCTTCAAAGCAAGTGCTACAAGACACGATTTTGAACTATGGCTAGTCTATATATTTGACTCTTTGTCAAATGATTGCCCTCGGGTCATGCATGGTAAGACCCATGGGTCTTTCATCGCAAGTCACTTGTGCTATCGTGCATACTGCGTGGGATCAGTGACGTGAAATTGTATGGGTATGGGTGGCTGCAGGGCTTCTGCAGTACCCCCCCACGATACATGCGACGACGATGCCAGCTCCAAATGGGGCGAGATTGACTTGGTCTGATACCGAGAGCCGGGCAACAATCGAGTGTCTGAGACTGACCTTGTGTCGCTCCCTGGGACGGAATAAGACACAGACACTTGGCCTACATCAGCGGGCTGAGGACATATAGCGCTTTTGGGAAGTTCGCGTGTAATAAAGAAGAGGAATCGATTTTGGAGCCACTGTCAATCTATTTACGGAACTCCAAGACAAGCAAGGAGTTCTTTTGTCCTTTTTTTGTGGTTCGATTCAGAGTCAACATGACTCAGATGAAAACGCCATAACTCACACGCTGGTCAACTATCAGAAACAATTTGATGCCGCTTATTTAAATGCACAATTAATTCTCATCTTCTGCCAAGAAGATTACCTTTTGTATTCACTTGGTGACGAATTTACAAGGAAGATCAGACTGATGATGCAGTAGTCTTGGGGCGAGCGTTTTCCACGATTGTAGATGCATCCGACGTTGCAGATGAAGATGACGGACTGACAACCATCTTGGTTCGAAGTGCACCACGAATATCCTCAACGCTCCGCTCTTTCCAGTCAGGGTATCCCAACTGGCTAAGAGGGAATAGAACGAGGTTGTCAGCGCGCGACATGAAGTCATCGACACTTGGTCGGGGAGTGGCAGTCATGATATCCATTTCCACGGCGATCTGTCGGCAGTAAGTGTCCAGTGGAAGATCATTGACATCATGACCGAAGGGGTTCTCAATTTCACTGCCGATTGTAGCCAAGCCGAGGATGATATAAGCGGCCACTGCAGGGTTTGTTAGAATTGTTCCTGTACTTGTGACTTGTGTAACGGAGATGATTCAGTGCTTCTTACCGATTGATGCTGGGATGGTGATCCATTGCAAGGCATTGTAGAGCTGGAATGGAAGTACCAGGATGTAGATCCATGAAATCTGGGCAATGGCAATGCTGTATGCGGTAGGCAGGGGGGTGTCCAGGACACGTTCTGTGCCGGTCAGGACCTCATTCAAGGTGGACAGCAAGGTGACTGTTGTTGGGTTAGAGTTGGAGTACCACAAGAATACGGGGTCGAAGACTTACTAGCTTGTCCCTGGTGCAGAGTTGAAACCAAAGTACCGTTTGCTACACACGAATCGATATACGCGGACAGATGGTTGAGGATCTCCAGGGGTAAATGTCCAAGAGGCTTCTTAGACCGCTTGACATACTTGCGAGGGTTTGACTCGGCGAAGGACACGCCGAGGTACTCTCCTGCAGACTTCCAAATAGATTTAGGCGGAGGGTTGACAACCATGCGGTCGTGGGCCTCACGGGCAAAAGTGTCAAGGTGTCCAGCTAAGCCAGCTAGATCTTCGTATGCGATATCGGGCTCGAAGCGGAGTTTGTGTTTAAGGGAGACGGCGAAGGCCAAAATGAGGTTCATCGCGGAGCTAGACAGAGCCAGTTAGAATCAACGAAGCCCAGATACACACTCGCTTAAGGTATGACGTACAGTTTTCTCAAAATGTCATCTTTTCCTTCTTCACCCTCTCTCTCGCCGGTATTGATCCAAATTGTACGTGAGAGGTTGCGAGACGTTTGAATGAGCTGGGCCCAATATTTGCGCCCGTCTGCCCATCTGTAGCGAAAACCGGGTTAGTGTATGACTCGAGTGGAAGCTGAGAATGAGGCGATAGTATATATACCTCTCGTATGCAGTTGAGCTGCGGAATGATAAAGCTAAACCCACCACGAAACCCAGCACGGTGAGCAGGATATTGTTGATACCCACTTGTTCGAGTCAGTATGTGATTCTAACCTGTTTGTTGATTCATCACTTGGGGACTACTCACGGTTATGGACCAGTCGCGAAAAGACAGTAATAGCAGTTGACCAAAGAGCGACCGTCAAAAGCGGCATGATCATTTTTGGCATGACGCTGCCGTGCATTCGCATCATGATGGGCCATTTGGAATGCTTTTCCATGTTTCGGGGGCCATGCTAGACCAAGGAGATGTATGTTAGCCACCTAACCTATTATCATATACCCTGTTTCTATCCATCTGTTCATCTTCTATCTAGATTGGATTCTCCCGCAATAGCATTGACTTACAAAGTACCGGTCCAATTCGCTCGAATCCCGTCGATCGAACTGGAATTGCGAGTCTCGCGAGGTAGCTAGATGTTCCAAGAACGTTGGCCGAGGGGTTACGCGACCAATGGAGGAGGCCTGCTCCTTATCATGGGTCGGTGCCGCCTGATGATGGGCGTGCCCGCGTACATCTGCGGGAACTGGCGCAGCAGTGTGGTCTCCTGCTGCTGCTGGAGCTGGACCATCAGCTGGAGGGGCACTGTGGCCGTCGGTCATTGCGAGACGATCAAAGTTAGAAATGAAAGGGGAAAAAAGAAGAAAAGAAGGTGGAATAAAGCCGGAACTTGGCCGGTTCTGATTTCAACAGATTTGACAAGAAAGAAAATGTATAAGCGAAGGTAGAATAGAACTAGAAGAAGAGTAACTAACAACTGAAGAGGAAAAAAGAAGAAAAAAGAAAAGGAAGTAAAAGTGAAACAGTGAAACACGGGCCATTTGACCTGACAGGGGGCCGTTTTAACGGCATCTAGACTGAGGTGGAGTCGACGGACACGTCCGCATGTTTAATTTTAGCCCTTCAGAGCCCTTCAGGGGGGAAACATTTTGGTTGATCTTTTTTTCGATTGGTGTCGATTTCATGGGGAATTACTCGCCAATCGTCTAGATCGCGATTGGATTAGGGCTAGTGTTATGGATTATAGATTCAAGCCCCGTGCAGCAGACCTGTATACAAAAGAAAGAAAAAAAGAAAAAAAAAAAGGAAAAGGGGAAAAATGGAGAAAACTTGAAACAGTATGTGCATGCATGCATGCCCAGATGTTTTACAGAGTACAGAGTAGCTCTAATGTATACTCTCTCTTATAGTCAAGATTGGGTATAGATTCTACTACATAACTGTTCAAAGATCGTACAATATAAACCCATAAATCCCCAATTCTACAGCCTATGTTCTACAATATTGTATAACTAACTAGTTATTGTATAGTTAACTATTAATAGTTATACGATATAGAATACCTTGTATATTAAATTCCTAATTGGGAATTGACGGCTGAAAAACTAAACCCAAAAGGGGAAAAGGATCCGGCTCCGTACCTGTTTCCTCCGCTCAGCCTCTCGGCCCTTTTTCCCACTTTTGAGTCAGAAGGAAACCAGAGGGGGAGAATAAAGGGAAAATGGAACACAAGTCAGTTGAGACATTGCTCAATTTAGGGGAGATTGAGGATGCCGCTACTAAAATAGTGAACAAAAAGGCATGGGCCTATTATTACTCGGCATCCGACGACAAGATCAGCAAGCACAAAAACACCGAGGCCTTCCGTGCCATCCAATTGAGACCAAAGGTCTTTGTCGACTGCAAGGAATGCGATTTGAACACTAAATTGTTAGACAACCATGTCTCTATCCCAATTTATGTTTCCCCGGCTGCTATGGCCCGGCTAGGGCACCCCTCCGGGGAAGCTGGAATCGCAGAAGCATGTCGCAGCTTCGGTGCTTTGCAGATCATTTCAAATAGTGCGTCGATGACGCCCGAGCAGATTGTTGCGGGCGCCGCCCCAGGCCAAGTATTTGGCTGGCAACTATATGTGCAGCATGATCGCACCAAGAGCGAGCGAATGCTGGCTCGAATCAACAAATTAAATGCAATCAAATTTATTGCCCTGACACTGGATTCCCCTGTGACCGGGAAAAGAGAGGACGACGAACGCAGCGGCAACGTCATCGGTTCTGAGGCTCAATATCAGGATGACAGCAATGACACGGCGCCAATCATCCAGACTGGAGACCCAGTATTCAAGGGAATGGACCCTGCTCTCACATGGAAAGAGACCCTTGCGTGGTTGGCAAAACACACCGATCTTCCGGTTGTTCTGAAGGGCATTCAAACACACGAGGATGCATATATTGCCACGCAATATTCGCCCCAAGTCAAAGGAATCATCCTTTCGAACCACGGTGGCCGGTCTCTTGACACGGCCCCTCCTGCTGTCCACACCTTGCTCGAAATCCGGAAATACTGCCCCGAGGTCTTCGACAGGATCGAAGTATGGGTCGACGGCGGGATCAAGAGGGGAACCGATGTGGTTAAGGCTCTTTGTTTGGGTGCACGAGGCGTTGGAATAGGAAGAGCTGCGCTCTGGGGCTTGGGCACAGGAGGAGTAGACGGCGTAAAGAGAACATTGCAAAGTATGATCAGCAAAATCTGGGGTCGTCTGTGAAGTGATTTACTGACAGGGCTTAGTTTTGACCGACGAGACCAAAACGTGCATGCGACTTCTGGGGGTGAAGAACGTTGATGAACTTGGAAAACAACATGTACGTCTGCATATGTGTCCCGGATTTTCAGTTTAGTCTTCGACTGCAAGTGAACTGACCAATGTGTTTGTCCAGATAAACACTCGACTAGTAGAGACACAGATCTACGATGGGCCATCTGGTCTCGAAGCTTGTCAGACAAACTGCCAGTCAAAACTGTAGTGGAAATATGGCAAACCAGCCGAGAAAGGACCTATCTCTGCGTATATCTTTCTCTGTACTTAGGCTGCCTCCAGATATTCTTCATATCTTTTCTGCGCAATTTGGTTAGAATAGAAGACCCTCAAGACGGCGAGGCCTCGCCATTTTTCTTTCTTTCTTTTTCAAATTCCATATCCCATACGAGGACTGTCTCCCTTCGTCCCTTCGTCTCGCATCATCCCCTTGTCACCTCGTTTCGCCTTGGTCCTACCTAGCTCGTCCGGCTTCATCGGTTCTCATAAGTTCTCGATCTTCGTCCAAAGTTACCCCTTAACACTTTCTCGCTCTTCATCCCAGCTCGTTTGAAAATTGTCCCATCATGTCTGATCGAATTCTGACCGACCTTCCGCTCGAGATCTTCTGGCTCATTGTAGAGAACCTTGAGTGCGAGGAAGACGTCAACGCTCTATCCCAAGTGAATCGTGGTCTTTACAATCTTCTCAATCCATATCTGTACCGCATTAATGTCGACAACAGTTACAATCCTGCCATTGCTTGGGGCGCCTACCACGGCCAAGAAGCAACCATTCGAAAATCCATAGAGCAGGGCGCCCAGACATGGTTTACCTTTGACGAATGTTACTCACCAGAGCCCATAACCCTTGCAGCACTCCGTGGCCACGCAAATATCATCAAGCTGCTTCTCGACTATGGAACTGACCCGATGTACTTATGGGAAAATGATGACGATGGAACAGAGTCGTGGTTCATAATGGACTGGGAGTATTTTGAGTTGTCCTCAATCCGAGACTGGCCTCCCTGGACAGCGGCGCTTGCGACCGACCACGCAGAAGCCTTGCAAGTCTTGATTGAGAGGATTCGATTCGTCCCGCGCCCCTGGGACTTTTTCAACGCTTCCAAAGAAGGCTGCTTTGAGACCCTCAAAGGCCTTGTGAGAGCTTGTCCCGAATGGGCAGATCTTGCTCAATCCAACTACTCCACTATCTTGGGACTGGCAATCAATGCATCATGGCACAACCTCGATATCGCGCGCTTCCTTGTCGATTCAGGATCCCCAATCAACAACATAGATGCCAATCAACACACCCCGTTGGCCATGGCGGCGGATACTGGGAATATTGAGACAGTTCAATTTTTGCTGGACCGTGGAGCCGATCCCGATCCCGATTCAACCCCACTGTGGCCATTAAGGTTTGCCGCAGAAAGGGGCCATATGGAAGTCGCAGAACTGTTGATGGAAAATATTGACGTCCAAAGCAAGATTACAGGTGGTGGGTATCACCAATTTTGGCTACTTTACTCGGCGGCAGCCTGTGGCTTTGAGAAGCTTGTGCGGGCTTGTCTGGATGCTGGATGCAATGCAAATGCCAGACTGTATGTGGAGTCTTGTCCTTTCAGCGTGGATGCTACGAACCGAACATCTGACGGCGGGTATCATTTGGCGCCGCTAGACTGGGCCCGTGCAAGAGGACACTCTGCAGTTGTGCATCTTCTTGAGAACGACTAACTGATATTACTCTGTACAACAATTCAATTCAGTTTCACTTCAGTTTCAGTTCAAATTCAATCCAAATTCAATTTACTTTAGATGTCTCTATACTCAATTACACGGTGGCAAAACAGGGCATCGTACTCAAAACGATCACGCTTATCACCCTGGACGAGAAAGAACCAAAGCGCGAGCTGATGGTTCGGAACAACCGACCCTTCACACCGTCCAGCTTGGAACATAACATCGGGGAATCCGCGACAAAGGTGGAAGCGGCCCTAGGATACGTTGTCGGAGACCTAGCCGACCAACCATGCCAGCGCTGCGAGCGTGGCCTCGGGCCTTTCCCACACTGTGTGCGTGTTCCGGACTGCAGGTATATACTATGACAGCTTGTGTGAACTGTCATTGGAACGCCGACGATGTTCAATGCCGAGAATTTCACATCCCGTTACCTGGCGAGTCCGAACCGCGCTCACAAAATAGCCTCGCGAAGATGGTTCTTGACTTAATCAACCCTGCTATAAGACTAACTAGCTAAAAGCAGTCAGCGCCCAGGTCGGCACAATAATCTCCCATACCCCCCCAAAAAAAAGAAAGCAGCCCCCCGATCGACCAAATCCTCCTCCGCAGTTACAATAAAGAACATGGCCAGTAGCGATACTAGCGTGTGCTGGTCTGCCCTTTACACTTGCTTTCCCGCGGCGAGGGAGGCCATCAAGGGCTCCACAGTCGATGAGCCTTCTAATGGATTTTTGCTCGCGGCCTCTCTCCACTCCCTATTTGGGAAGTTCCTCCTAGCATTCAAACCAATTATGAGTGACAAATACTCAATAACTAATACACCCAGCTAATATAAATTATATCTTAAGCCCGATAATAATTTCCTATACGAGATCGTGGTGTACGAGTCCCTCGGCTCAACATTACCTCGCTTCTGTGAGGGTCAGAAGGTTACTATGAAAGCACCGAGCTGAGTGCCCAGTCAAGCACCCAGTCTTTAGCAGATCCGCTTACCTAGGATCAGGACCGACTAACCCAGCGAGATCCCTTAGTATTCGAACATATACTCTCGCAGGAAAGTGGACGTGGTCGAGGACGAGGACCGGGACGAGGAGGAAAACACGCGCCGGGAGGGGGGTGCATAAGAAGCAAGATGATCAATATGTAGATTTTTGAAGTAGGAATCAGGCAGAATGTACGATTTTTCTCATTAAAATGCAGTGCTTTCTACTATGTGAACCAGAATTATATGGTAGTGGCAGAATATATGGCAGTATTCGGTGTCGCACACAATTGCGAGAGCGATGAGAATGTTGTTTTCGGACAGCGCAAAGAGGCTTTTGTTGTCCTAGGAGCATTCCAAAAAACAAACATTTGCGAGGGCTCATTTATACGTGCAGAGGCTGTGACGGTGACAAGTAACCCTTCGTCTGTACATAACGAGGAGATGATAGGAGCTAAGGAACCGATTGAAGAGTAATGTAATGCAAACTAGTTGTGATTATATCATACACACTAGCCAATCACAGGTGCAATGCATGGGAATCAAGTATGTATCGGAACAAGGTAACTATGTGTTCCCTAGAACAAAAGAGCACTGTCCAAGCTGGAGAATCCCGCGGCAACGCCACCTTCATTCACCTCTTTCCCTTTAGTTCTCAACAGATACCCGCCTTGTTCATTGTGTAAAATCTTCCCAGTATTCTCCCAAAGAATTGTACCATAAACACCAAGCTCGGAGATGACGTTTCCTCGAATGACCTCACCGTCATTCCGTAAGGCAACATTCTGGGCATTGGCTGCAGGGTTGATGAGTTCCATAAGCACCCAGCCTCTCCAATCAGATTCTGGAATGGATCGCAAAAAGTCTGGGATATCGGATTTATAGACATTGTTGCCACCCCCTTCACGCTGTGGTTTGAGCACATGGTTCAGGGCAGTATCTGGATTGAGGGCTAGATCGCGACCTTGACTGTTGATCGACAGGTCATATTGCGGGGCGAAGGTATCCCGAACCCTTTCAACAAGCGTAGATTTAATGCCCTTCAAAAAGCTTGAAAGATGATCTGGCCCTGTCGGCTCTGCTAAGACCTGCTGAACTTTCTTGCAGCCAGACAGCTGATTGAGCACCGTGGGACACTTGATCGCAGCAGAGCGCTCCAGATGGGTTCGGGCCTGCCAGTCACGGCTGGATTTGTACTCGTCTGGTGCATAGTAAGCACGAAGATAAACAGTTGTTACTTCGAAGGTTGAGTCGGGGGAGTGAGGGGGCTGGTACAACAACGGCCGCGAGGAGTTTGAGCTGGGAATGGATGTTTGATCCAAGACATCGACGCTGGCCACACGGAAGACTGGAATGTTGTGAACTGTCTTGAGCTGTGTCGAGAGCGCATGCTGATCAAAAACGTTCCGCTCTGTCTCTTGGACTACGAAGAGAACACAAAGAGGGAGGGCCGGGGAGGACTTGGACACTCCGTAGGCCTCATGGGCTGCTGCCAAACCCGCAGAGAGAGTTTCCACTGCGGTGTTTTCAGGTGGAACCCCGGATTGTAGCAGGGGATGGGGTGGGTAATTGATGGATGAACCCGGCGGCGAGGCAAGAAGCTCGGTGTGCATTTGTCGCACAAGAGCTGAAAGCCCTCCAAACGATGACGAGATCGTGTTAAATTCAACCTGCTTTATAGCCGGGAGACCTGTAGGTAGAACATGGGCCATGTAATCGGATCGGAAGAGGCCCAGTGACAGGTTTTGAACATATCCCTCCTTTCGTACATCCAGATGAACCTTCCACAAGTTCGAGACAAAGTCATCCACTTCAATGAGCCTGTAAATACCCAATAATTAGCAATGAACTGCGCCAGAGTAGACATGTCCCTACCCTTCCACGATCTTCCCTAGCCATTCTTCATTGCATGTGATCATAGCATAAAGTTCGTTGTAGATCTCTTGGAGAGCAGTCGCTTCCTCGAAGCAAGCTCTGGGGAACGGACTGGGAAACAATGTCACTGGCGCATTTGTAGCCAACACCCCATTTGAATCTGCCTCAGCTGGGATCATTGCCGGGGATGGTCGAACAGCAAGACCATTTTGAATAGCCCAGTCTTTCACGGATGTGACCAGAAATCGTTGTTGAGCTGGGGACAAGTCTGGCGGATAGTTTGAATAGATTGATTCTGCCATTTTGCTAGTGGACAGGAATTGATTTACTAGGGTACTTAACCACCTTTCCAAGTTGCGTAGACTTTGTAAAGCTTCCAACCTCACCGAGGCTCCGGGACATCCTGAGGAATTCTGGGGATTTGTAATTGGTGGGGCATCTATGGACACCTGAGGCAGAAACACAGGACGCGAGACCGCCTGGATCTCCCGCCTTCCATTTTTAGAATAATTGGTCCCTTCTAGCCAATAGCAACTCACCGCCTAGTGAAATACCAGCACAAAAAAAGAGCTTCACGTAGAACACAGATTGGGAAGGAGGAGGGTTGTGGACGTGTTTTCTTATAATTGAGGTCTTCCCCCTCTTTTATTTTCATCTATTCATCTCTTCTTTCTCGCCTCTCATCCAAACTCTCTCTTTTAACCCCTCTCCCTCGTTCAATTTGTTCTGACCAACTAATTAGCTCATCCTTCATTGTTATTGATTGAGCCTACACTCGAATTTGATTTACCTTTTGTCGACTGGCATCGGGGGCCTTGACACGGTAAGTCAAACCTGTGTTTATTCCAAGCTTTTCTCTTGCCCGGTTATATCATTGAGAGAAATGCGCACCTGGCACATCTGAACTGTTTGCTAATCCACGGGCCCCCCAGGCAAACATGTCTTCAAGCAAAGACCCCCAAGACTGGACAGTCGACGAACTTGTCACTTTCATCTGTCATGACAAACCAGGAGAGTGGTCTTACAATTTGGCTTGCCCAGATCTTGTGGCTCTGGAGATCTCCCTCCGGGAAAATATGATCTCAGGCTCTGGTTTTCTTCTCTTAAATGACCATTATGTTAAAGAATTGGGAATCAAAGTTATTGCACACCGCCAATATCTTATGCAAGCCAAAAAATGGCTACAGCGACGATCGCCGAAGTTCCAGGCACAACAGGAACAGCAACACCAGGCTCTCAAAGTAGTTCTCAGTGAAGATGAACTTTCACCTGAACCCTCTCTCAATGTCACTGACCCCAACGCCCCCCTTGATAATCCTCCCAACCCCACTACTCCTGATGATGCTACCCCCAATCCCAGCCCTCTCCATGATGCCCTTTCACCGGCCCAAACAGAGAGAAAGAAACCTCGCCGGATGGAGACCACAATCATCGAACGACCTCCGCCATCTTCTCTCCTGGAGCCACTTCTGGAGCCACGTTCGCCTCATCAGCGACCTGCTCCTAATCCCACCTACGGCAACGAGGCCTTTTATGATCATCTTGTAAAGGCTTATCCCCCGAACGATGCAGATGTTCTCTCGCTTCTTGGAGAATCCAACTCCGAATCTGAATATGATACGGAGACTCGGGAGGAAATGGAAGAGGATGAGGGGCAGTCTCGCCCGGAAACTCCACCGGATACGTCTGGAGCCCTGGGTGATGCCGAATTCAATGAAATCGTCGATGAATACATCAATTCGCGGAAAAGCCAGTTCATCGAAATTCGATTGCCGAAGGAGCAGCCAAAAGGGTTTCAAATTTGGAACCGAGGCCAAAAGGTTCCGAGCACGAAAACCCAGATTTCGACACGGCTCGCCCACCTGGAGAAACGGTGTCAAGCTCTCCGCAAAGCACTCGCTGAGGCAGAACACTCCTCGCGTTCTTCCTTAATTCAAGCTTGTGCATGCTTAGACCTCACTGTCGTTGATATTTGCTTGGATCAATGGAAGCTTTCTGTTCTTGAGAAAGCTAGCCCACCGGCAAAAATTGCTCGTCCTCCACGCACCCCGCGCCCAGAAAAGCGCAAAGTGAGTTCAGACGGCGAAGAGAGTCTGAGTTCGGGGTTGGATTCCGTTCATGACATTGAAGATGAGAGTCTGAGTTCGGATACGGACTCCGTGCGTGACACGGGAGAGGTGGAGGATGACGAGTCACTAAAACAATCTGAAGACGACCCTGAAGAGGGTGAGATTGCACAGGACGAGGAGGAACCACGTCCTCGCGAAGCTTATCACGGTGGACCTTTCCGTGACTACTCTTCAGACGAGGACCTCAGCCATCTTTTCTACAAAGAAGAAAAGTACGAGCCCCCGGCCGCCAAGAGGCGTCGCCTGAATAAGGATAGCGTCCATCAAGACAGTCCAACTTCACCACTGATACCAATGACGACTCTGCCTTTTTCCCCGGACGTGGCGCTGCCCTCGAATGAGCTTGGAACAGAAAGTCAGATGGAGACAACGACCCATCGTGTCGACCCCATGCGCCCCAACACACGTGAGTCCGTGGAATTGGCGAGTGATAACGGTGGTAAAACCGATGAGGCTGCGCGTGTGTTTGACGATGTCTATTCCATGATGTGGGCAACTATTGAGGAGAGTGGAAACCGACTTCACCTGATAGCGAAGGCCCTCATTACTCTGCCAAATAATCGCTTCAATCAGCTTTCTAAGTTTCTTGACTCTTACATGGCTTGTCTTTATCGGGATTATGCGCGAGATGCGCTGAAAAACATGTCTGACAATTCACCGGTGATTGGGGGAATGGATCACGAGGAGAGCCACTCTGCAATGCTAATGACCACCTTGTTCGTGTCGTGGGTTAATGTTATCCAAGTCCCTTCCAGCGCCTTTACAGCAAAAGAAGTCAAGGCTGCGCGTGTGGTGATGGGAGATGGCCTGGAGGAAGACCAATTCGCACCATTCTTCGAATGTTTGAATGATCTCATCAGGGGATACAGAAAATGGGTGACTTGGCCGTCTCGTGTCCAACCTCATGAAAGGAGTCCCACCCGGCAACAGCTGGTCCCACAAAAGAGAATGGCCGCCGCAATGAGTATGAACCGGGCCCAGAAAGATGGCCAGAAACGCCAGGCGAACCAAGATGAAGCCAAACGGGACCTCCAATTCCGAATTCCCTATGAAGAAACACCCATAATGCCAGTTTCGTTCGGAGATCCTGTTATCCAGCTTGACCCATTTATCAGCAGACGGATTCAGCCACATCAGCTCCATGGCGTTCAGTTTATGTTCCGGGAAATCGTTGAGAACAAACGACCAGAAGGGTGTTTGTTAGCCCATACCATGGGATTGGGCAAGACAATGCAAGTGTAAGTTGTGATTGCCGTGATAATTGTCTGACTCATTGGGGCTCTGCTAACTTCTGCATAGCATATCACTACTCGACACCATTGCCACTGCTGGCGGATCGCCAGACCCGGCAATTCAGTGTCAGATCCCCGAGGAACTGCGCCATATGAAAACTTTGATACTGTGCCCGGCATCCCTCATCCAAAATTGGTGCAGGGAGTTCAAAATTTGGGCTCCTGATAATCATAAAATGGGAAAAGTTCGGCCCATTCTGGCAAAGTCTTCGCGAACCGAAGAGATATGTGCATGGAATGAGGAGGGTGGCATCCTCATCATCAGTTATGACATGTTCCGCAATTATGTAAAGAGCAATGCGGGGCAGGATGAGGATCTTGAAAAACAATCGACCAACGAATCTGTCAAGAGTTGGTTGGTAGAAAGCCCAACTCTTGTTGTGGCTGATGAAGCTCAGGCTTTACGCAACACCGAGACCCATATTTTCGAGGCCGCCTCTCGCCTCCGCACCCGGAAGCGGATTGCCCTCACAGGCACCCCGTTGTCCAATGGTTTGAAAGACTACTATTGGATGATTGATTGGGTTGCCCCTAAATATCTCGGAACGTTTACGGATTTCGAAAACACATTCATCAAGCCCATAGAAAATGGTTCGCATATTGAAAGCATCAGGTATGAGCGAAGACAAGCACTCCAGCGCCAAGAGCTATTGCTCGCGATAATCGGCCCGAAGGTACAGCGGATGGACATATCCGCACTGACAGCTAATTTGCCACCAAAATACGAATTCGCTGTTTACATCGAACCGACAAGCTACCAGAAGGATTTGTACAACCTCTTCGTCAATGACGTGAAGGCTGAGAAGCTCAAGTGTGTGAACAAGAAGCTCATGTCCTTCTTCAGCCTTCTACAGCTATGTTGTATCCACCCCGCCCTTCTGAAAGCAAAGCTTGAAACTCGAGATGTCAAAAGCCCCCCCCACAATTCAAGAAGTGCCAGCAGCGATGATCACGGTACAACTGTTGGTTGGAACATGCCTACTGAAGAGAACACCGTTCCAACTGTGATGTCATCTGAACTGACGAGTCTGTTGAACGGGGTTCCTGACTTGCTGGATCCCAGCCTATCTAGCCGAGTGATGGTACTAGATGAGATTGTCAAACAGGCAATCGCACTGGGTGATAAGGTCCTCGTGTTTTCGTCCAGTATTCCAACATTGGATTACCTGGCGAAATGTATGGACAAGGTGCCGAGGAAGTATTGTCTTATCAACGGAAATGTGGGTGCTGCTGGCCGTCCTGAACGAGTTCAGATTTTCAACAACGATCCCACCACCAATGTCTGTCTCATTTCAACTCATGCCGGTGGTCTCGGCTTGAACATTCAGGCGGCGAATCGAGTTGTCATATTTGATTTCCTATTTAACCCCACATGGGAAGCACAAGCCATTGGACGGGCATTTCGAATCGGCCAAGCGAAGCCAGTCTATGTCTACAGAATGATCGCCGGTGGAACATTTGAAGAGAAACTCTATCGTAAGAATGTCTTCAAAAGCCAACTTGCATGCCGAGTGGTCGATAACAAAAATACCATCCGGACGGGGTCGAATTCCGAAGATCCCTACCTGGCACAATGGACCGTGAGCTCACAGCAAGGTGGCATCGATGAGGCCGCACTTGAAAAGGATCCCGGCATGATGCAGAGACTTCAGTCGTGTGAATGTGCTAAGGCAATCCTTAGAATCAGCCTTTGCGGTGATGAAATAGACCCAGAGGATATGTTGACTCTTGCAGAACGACAGACTGTGGAAGACGAGTTAAGGCTTAGACATGTTCGTCTTGATTCGATGGGATCTTTTTTAGGTTTCTGTGCGATGCTGTCTTTCTTTTTTTTCCTTTTTGTTTGAGTGATACCCCCTTCGCAACTGTTTACTTGTTACTAGCTATGTAGTAATGATATGTAAGATTCTTTTTCAATTTCCTCCTAAGTACAGATGTACCCAACTTCTAATACATGGCCAAGAGATACATATGTAGCGGATAATACCTGGCACTCGAGACCTTTCCCTTTCCGTTTTAGTGCTCACCTCTCGCCGCTTTTTGATCACTGAGTAAAACTGAGTACGTCCCTGAGTACCCTGACTTGATCACGGGCCATTATATAATCAACGTGATCTGCTCACTCAGCATCACCTGATCATACCCTGAGCCCCCTGATCCACTCACTGATCATCATCTGAGCATCCTGATTTGCTCACTGAGTGCTTACTGAGTGTACGGCTGAGCGGCCTGAGTAAGCTACATCACTAAAATGCGACACGCTAATCCCATCACGTGCAACCCTTTCCATTTAGATCGCCCATCAAAAAATGACTGGCGCAGTCAACGTGACCGTTCATCCTAGTGGTCTCGACCCTATCCAAATGAAAACGTCGCAGTGGGGCCATTCAATTGACCTATAATTTTCCCATTTTAGCGTATGCTCCTAGGAATACCCTCGGAATACTTCGCTTACCAGCCCGGCGATCCCCTAATCGGGCTTTGGACTACTACCAGGGCGAGGACGATTGGATGGATTTCCTTGATTAGAGCCGTTCCCTGTATCAATACAACTAGAGTAATCAGTGTTTAGCAGGTGACGACGTTGAACTACTTCTCTTGCTAATGAGCGTATAACGTCATGTCTTTCGCGCCATTTCTAAGTAGGTCGTAAACCGACAAGCCATCAACAGTAATACCGATGGGCTCCCAGGAGCTCATCGGTATTACTAGGGTTCTAAAGGTTCATAGCTATTTTGTTTTGATCCTAGGAATTCTAAGCCTCGCCCGTTTGCCCTAGTATTTCCGCCTAAAGTGATGCCACTTCAAAGGGGAATATATATGTCTAGTTACTCCGAAAACAATGGTCGTCATCATTCCTCTGCATCCAAGTTACTTAAACAAACACAAAAAGTCTGCTTTGAATATATCGCAGTGAGTTCAGCCTTCATTCACTCGTTGTTCTGCATCAACTGACCGTACTCCAGATTGGCATTTCTTTTGCTTACGATAGTCGAACCGATCAACATTATCAGCCCCCTGCCCACGCAAAATCTGGAAGCTACAAAAAGTACAACCGAGGCTTTAACAACAGGACTGTGCCATCGATTGAACTTTCGCTGACATTGCTTCAGGGAGGCTGTCATCAGCATTGGATCAATCGGAGGCTAGCAGGCTCGGTAATGGAGCCCAACATAATCTTCGCTTGGCAATCCGGAGCAACGGAGTTGCAGGTGTTAGATTCCAGGACACTTTCAGAGAATGAACTGAACACTCGGCCAGCGATACTATGCACGAACCGGACTGAGATCGTCTTGATTACTTTTGGGACATAAAAGTGCGACTATTGACAGGGCGACTGCACACGCTTGAAAATACCACATATACGACGATAGAACTCTCTGCGTCGTCCGTAAAGTTTAGAGCTCTCAACATTACAATACTCGGCTAACTGAATCATTATACTAGACATGCTATTTTCCTCACCTCTAAGAGCATCTTCAATAAGGAGAAACGCAGCATTGACCATGGAAATGAAATATTGCTGGCAGTTGTTGAAACAAACAAGTGGCAACATATAATTCAGGACAGGCGGCTGGCACTCCAACGCATCACTCATGAGGCCGAAGGTCAGGCCATAGGGATACAAAAATCCCGAGATGTTTTGCAAGGATAAAAGTCCTTGAGATTTTGAGAGGGGCCATATCCGTACTTGAGGCCTATATTCATCTCTTCTTCTTCCCAGCCGGGGAGACATTTAAAGTCTCATGTTCTTCAGCCGAGTAAGTCCTACGGATGCTTGCCCCTCCCACATTATAGGTTGACTAACGGGTTCAATAGTATGGTCCGAGAGGCTCACGAGCTTGGCAGCTTAATAGCGGGCATTTACAGTATGAAGCCCGGTTCCCAAAAGGGCCCAGACTTGCAGCATCACTTTCCCCCGGGGGGAGCGGAAATATGGTGCGAGTGCGTATGAAAATGGAAAAGAGCCGTTCTTCCTTCTCCATTGAGCAGATACATGATATTTCTGGCGTGCATCTTCTCAGTTTGTATATTTTCATGCTGACTTACAGACGCCCTCTCTGAACTGTCAGACGGACCCAGCATTCCCTCGTCTTGGAATAGTGCTGGTCCCCAGTAAAAAGTTTGGGTGAAGTACGGAAGGCGTCTCCAATGGGACGAACGCACGGTATCTGGGTCCTTGATCGATTTAGATCTAAGACAGTAGAAGGGCCCCTCCCCATGCTCCTCAGCCTACCGACTCCGTTCTAGAACCCCAAACACCAGGCCGGCGGATTCTCAGGCATTTTGCCGTCGATAACATGCCATGAGCACGTCAGGTTTATATGACAGTCCCAGCAACGATTGTTCCTGGACCAGCGGTCAATGCGTGATTTCATACCTTCAGCAACTCCATTTCCTCTGAAGGCCCGCTTTGGCCTTTTTGCAATGGAATTTGTTAAGATTGGGATCATAAGCGGAGACGATTTGAATGCTTTTACCGTGGTTGAATAATACCATTTCATTAATTAGCTTGATTAGGGGTGTTTTGGTTCCGTATTTGATACATGTCGTCAGTGTTTCTCTCCGTAAGGTATTTACGGATCTTCTGGTCAGTCTGCACAGCCACCATCGCGAGACAGACTCTCGTAATTGTTGAGTTTACCGAAACAGAAATATTTCTGTAATATACCGTCATTGTACAGTTTCCGCCATCTGACACCAGTTTGGTATCCTCGGGCAGACCAATGGAATGAATGTAAATAGGACTTAACTAAGAGTCGCACAAAAACTTATCGGATTTTATTGATGCGGGGAGGAAAGAGTCTAACCGTGGACATAACAGCGTCCCGTTCCTGGAAGTCGAGTATTCACTTCCTGGTTTCAGCCAAACCGACGCATGAATCTTTTTCTGACAACATATTCGTCATCGAGTTGGACCCTTTCTGCTATGCAAGATACAGCAGGAGATACAGTGGTGAGCCTAAAACGGCTTTTGTTATACACCAAGTTTGACGGCCAAGTCTCGTATTACAAGATTTACACTCTTTCGCTCTTTCTCTCTTTCGCTCTTTCGCTCATTCTCAACGCCACTTTCGGGGACTAGTCTACTATGAACTTAGCCCGTCACTTGTGTTCTTTTACATATCGTTTGTGACCGGACTATACATATCACAAACGCGGGAATATGCTCGCCCATTTCCAAATAGACTACTCCACATGACAGTAGGCCTGCCCCTCCATCTATTCCTCCATCTATTCCTCCACCTATTCCTTCATCTATCCCTCCATCTATCCCTCCATCTATCCCTCCATCTATCCCTCCATCTATCCCTCCACCTATTCCTCCACCTATTCCTCCACCTATCCCTCCACCTATCCCTCCATCTATCCCTCCATCTATCCCTCCATCTATCCCTCCATCTATCCCTCCACCTATTCCTCCATCTATTCCTCCACCTATCCCTCCATCTATTCCTCCATCTATTCCTCCACCTATTCCTCCATCTATTCCTCCATATATTCCTCCATCTATTCCTCCATCTATTCCTCCATCTATTCCTCCATCTATCCCTCTATCTATCCCTCTATCTATCCCTCCATTGTGTGCTTGTACCCCATCTTATACTCTCTCTTACCATCACTGGACATCATCGTTAGCCATTAGATAAAAATAGAGAATCTTGCGTAGTCTGCACTAAGCGAATAGCGGTATCACACAGCCAGTTATCAATTCATAAATAGCCTACTTTGCCCCAAGCAATATTCATCATATCAGACTTTCGTTTTGCGCTCTCCCAAGAGATTCCTCGACATGGCCGAAACCCTTCTTAGCTACCTGACGACACGCAATCCAACTGTCCTCGCGTTCGTAAGACCAGCACCGAGCTTCACCTTTAATGATGAGTGGGACCCAATTGACGGCATAAGAGAATGGACCGATTTCAACTACAACACCCTCCAACTACTGTTCCGGGATGAGTTGAGCCGTCATGTATCTCCGTTTGACACTACCGGGAGCTGTGAAATTGGAGGCTACAACAAGATATTTGACGAACGTGGCCTTTCTGACCTCATATGCATGTCCATTATGGGTCCTATATCGGCAGTGCTTCCTTCCGATTCATTCATTACGTCTGGCGGAAGAGTTACGCAGCACCCAGGATGCGTCCCTGACTGGGGTGCTGGGAAGGATGGGGTAGGAAGGTCTAAAGCTATTGTTCTTGGTGACACGAAATTCAACTGGACATCAACTAATACCTTTAATGTTATCCAGAGCGTGGGAAACAGGCCCTATGAAGATTCACCATCGATCGACCTGGTGAGACCTCTTGAGCAAGTCCAATATTACGGCGCTGTTTACAAATGTCGATATATGTATATTATCAGCGACCAGGAGCTCGTGGTAATACGGCTTCATTTGCCACCATCCCACGTTCGAACATCACCCAGACCTCAACGCACTCGCCTACCACCCTCACATCAACGGGTAACATCGTCTTCCACGATTTCGAAGCAATTGACGGACATATCTATTGACGAGTCTTGGTTCAAAGCTAGTATTGGGCTGGTGGAATACAGGAAAATTCCTTAGAGCGCTACAAGTGGCCTTACGATCAAAATGGCATTGTATTGCCTTGTTCGTTTAGCAGATAAGTATGGGAATAATCTCAAAACCGATTACCCCTCTTTGGCATCCGAAGTGTCATCTGTTACTCAGCGTCTTCCATCAACCATGCCGAGTTCACAGCCACGGAACCCTATACCAACAGCGAGCACTGTCGTCAGCACACCACAAACGAGCAACGAATCGGCAGCCAAATACTACAACACCACTGTCGTATTCAACCAAGATCGCACTGCTTACTCCTACAAAGACAATAACGGCCAATGGGTCATTAATGATTCAAAATCCAATTGGAGGGTGATTGGGGACAAAATCTACAAATTCCACGGAGCTCCGCCGTATGCGTGCTCGGCTCCACCCCGCTGATTTCCTTGCAACGAGGTCTACGTACTATTCAACATAGGATGATGCGACAGAATCCAGTCATCGTGATTCCTCCGTTCAACACAGTCTGTGGAACTCAGCTACGCATGATCGAAACACTTTACTTCCAGGCTCGATGCAAATTCTATGGTGTTATTATCTAAATTGTCAATTCTCATTCTCCTACATGTCCTGACTCTACATCATGTTGGCTTTCAGTTAAAATCATGTTAGAAAATTAGGCTTACAATGTCTTCATACCGGAGAACCTTGAGACCAATATTGTATTGATTTTGCTCAGTAGTTGTTCCGCACAGATTGTTTATTATGGGATCTGTATTTTGTCTTGCTTAGCTAGAAAGCTTTACCACCTGGGCAGTATGATATCTTCCCATACGCTAGCCATACGTGGATTTCCGCCACATTATTCTATGTTATACATAAAGCCGCATTCTTATTTCCTACCTTTAATCTTGTTTTCGCTACTACTATATCTTTAATATATGGTTCTAACTTGCATATGAATATTCCCCGCGAAGCTCCACTGACTCTAGAACTTTGTCAAGGCAATAGATGCAATGGCATTGAACAACTTCCTAGATAGCAGCTTGATAGTATAAGGTAGGATGATTGAGGCTAAACACCTTGCTGCAAAGGCTACATTTCAAGATGTACCAATTGTTTGTTTGTACTTGATACAATTTACTCAGTGTCTATGTGCTTGCTCTTTTCTTGTGCTTAGATTATTGCTTTTTTCTTTCGTGGACATCATGAAGCAAGATTAATCAGGAAATGAGCGACTTGATCGTAATTTTGCTCTGTTCCGTCGAGGTAAGTCAATCTGAAATCGTACTTGGATGATTGCCTCTTACCGTCGAAACGGCGTTTGTGTCTAACCGGATCTAATGGGCAATTATCTGAAACTTCCTGCCTCGTCATGATAAAGGGCAAAGTCATTATTATTCAAGATTCCATATCCTCCGCTGCTCTAGATTCCCCTTCCCAAATTCGGCTCGACTAAAGATTTCTCCGGGACTTTTTGCTGAAACAAAACTTGAGCAAAATTTTCGTAGGTTATCAAGTCCGGCAAAATCAGATTCCGTCTTCAATGACGCAATCCCCCACGAATGTGGTACTAAGCAAAGTATAAACCGAGAGTCCTTCATTTTCTCCATTCTTCCAAATTGCGGCTCACAATCAAAAGTGAGTAATTCGGGATGGGCTTTATCTTCACAAAAGACTGCCCAAACTGACTCGTAATGACATAAAAGCCTGCCTCGACGAATATGCCAGCAGAGGTCAGAGTTTGGGCAGACAGCTTCCAGAAAAGGAAAAATGGAGTTCAAGGTCGGCATCGAAAAGGCTAGCATAGTCAGCAATCAACATCTAATATCTTCGAACGGATCAACAAAACCTACCATCTGGGTGATAGGAGACTTTCAGCATGATTAATTCTAACAATTCCTCCTCTTTATCTAGAGATTGCCAGAGTGCGTTGTCAACAGAAGAAGTGTGTTTAGAGTCGATGCCGGCAACCGAAGCTTTACTGTTGAAATGTATGAGATGGGAACGAAGATCTCGCGAGGTGGCTCTGAAAGTATGTTAGCGACGATACGAATGACGAAGTCTCCTTTCTTACCGATCGAGGATCTGCAAAAGGACACGTTCGCGTTCACCCTCTGATATAAGGCTTAACGGTCGAGGTCTCCCGCCATTTACCCGAAAAGGCTGCTTTATAGAGAAAGTGTACGATTCTGAGAAGTCATATAGAACCGTATCGTAGATGTCATCGGGGAGTCGAAAGTGGTGATCGCGGATGTCGCCATGGGTTATGCCAATTCGATGTAAAGCATCCAGGCGACGAAGTCGGTCTTTTAGTAAAGAATGATACCACTCTTGCTCGAATGGGCTTAGAAGAATCACTCCAGGAGTGGTACAAAACCTTTCAGAGAGCGTTCTTAGGATAGTTAAGAAGCTTTCAGACTGGGAATTGACAACCTCACTAAGAACACGTCGAGAACATAAGTCCGGTTTTATTGCCTCTACCACAACCGCTCGTTCATGGTAATACCCAGAAGAAAATCGAGATTTTGGTATGTCGGTGATCACTCCGTGGAATTGTGGGAAATAGATTCTTTCACTCGTAGGACAGCATAGGTCAATATGGCTGTATGCCCGAGCCTCCCGATAGAATCTATCGAACTCGTACACAGCATCGTTTATCGTTTCGGGAGTCAGTGGTACTCCAACACGATGAAGCCGTATCTTAGCATCTTGCTTAGAATAGCAAGGAAACTAGTAAATAATTAATCGGAGCACGCATATAATGATTGTCTCCACCTACGACTTTGGCGATATATTTTCTGTGTCCCCTGATGCGAAGCCAAAACACCTGTATAGTGTTCGCATCCGATGGTCTTGATTTGTCGGCCTTGGCTCCTAGTTCCCAATTGTCGTCTTCAACACAGAAAGGTCGGAATTTTTGGCCCTCAAGTTCGCTTGTTTTCAGTATGTCTGGACGACTGCCAGAGAAAAAAAGGTTCATCCAAGTATCTCCTTCCTCCATAATAGGCGTTCCGGTTAAGGAAATAGGATGTAGAGATGTCCCTGCACTCACTTTGAAGCTGGTTGTAGAGACAGTTAATACCAGAATATGTTGAAGTCGATTGATAAAGGCGCCTCCTGAAATTATTGTCATGTGAGATACTCCGTACGTTATCCTTGTATTATGTCACCCATTCTTAACTCTCCCCACTATTTAGCTCCGTCATTTCCCTCCATCCATCCCTCCATCCATCCCTCCATCCATCCCTCCATCTATCCCTCCATCCATCCCTCCATCTATTTCTCCATCTATTCCTCCATCTTATCCCTCCATCTATCCCTCCATCTATCCCTCATTCTATCCCTCCATCTTATCCCTCCATCTATCCCTCTATTATCCATTTCTCCTATCATGGTCCGGCCTGCCAGACAAAGGCTCCCTCGCAAACCACTTACCATTGCACAAGCCTGGGATAAAGTAGAGAGCGCCGCCTACAGTCTTGGCACTGGCGAGTATCTAGGAAAGAAAGACTCCAGCCGTGTTTCCAAGGCATTTTTTTTGCTGAATCATCCACCACAATCTACCAGTCATCGGAAGTATCGACTCTTTCTTCTCCGGGTGAATGAAAAATGCGGCCCTCAAGGCGTACGCTTGTGCGCCGTCGCGCTCGGTCATGACCATATCAGAGACATGAGTAATGGCCACCGTGATGCGCTCCTCTGTAAGCTGGGCGAGATGAAACACCAGCCATTGATCAAAAATTTGTCGTTTCCCTCGGGTGATACACAAGTAGATGGCCCCTTGAATGGTAAGCATTGACCTCTTAGATTTCCTCGCTTGCTTAGGAAGAGTGACTGACGAGACTCAGAGCAACTAACCAAAGAAAAACAAATCATTCGAAGTGACGATCACGAGTCTTCGCCATGCTCGAATTCGAGTAGGACCACCACCCCTCGACCCTTACTTATCAACAATGCCGAGGCCGACCGTTCAATTGCTTCAATCGGGGAATCAGTGAACTCAGAGTCTGGGTGCCCCCTTGATGATGACTATCATATCATGGAAAATAGAGAAATTGCAAGGATTTATCGTTAGTTCAACACTCTGCTTGTTTATTATACCTCCTAATTGGGTTCAACAGCATCTGTCCCAGACTGCTACGCAGATCAATACTTCACGACAGTGTCACGCCTCCCACAGAACGACGGACAAGATGATATTACAAACACACAGGAGATTTTTGAGCATGCCTCTCTTGCGGGGATTGCTACTGTTTTCAGCGGATTAATTTGTGGCGCTATCAGAACAACTTTATTTCAAGCAAATGGGAAGAAATATTCGAAAGCATCGGTGACAACAGTATTTCCTCCCTGGGGTGGACCAGTTGATTGTCTACTCAGTCTTGAGGTCTGTGAATCACGGGTGCAACCTCTCGCAATGGCTTTGTTCAGTGCGACTGTGAAATGGGTTGGGAAAACTCTACATGTTGGCTTCGAAAGAGGAACAACCCTGACTATTCCCAACTCCGAAGCTACTTTGAAAGGCGTGGAAAATGAAGCTATTGCCATGGTGTTCGGTTCTGAGATACAACTGGCAATTAAAGAGAGCCGTATTCGCCTGAGAGAGTTAGAAGAAGGGAAACTGGCTACTGAATGTGTTTCGATGATAGTCACAGAGAAGGGCGCCATCGTTAACCTATCGCTTGGACTGGTTCGAGGGTTAGAAATACAAAAAAAGCTATATACCTAGAATGCAAACATATCACAATTTGACCCATTAAACATCTCACTCTTTGACTTTCCCCTTTGTAACGTAAAGCTTTACCCCATGTTGAGCAACCCCTTGTCCATTTGGCATGCCAACGAGTTTCCTTGTCTGTTCCTTTCCTTCCTCGTCAAACTCATAAACAGTGACATTACTCCCCTGCCAGTACACTGTCTGGCCTTTTCCAACAATCATTGTCACACGGTTCTCAGGCACGTCGCTGAAATCTATGGCGGAATCGAGCGGTTTTTCTTCGAAAGCCTGGGGAATTATTACTCTGCGTAAGATACCATATATATGGGACTAACCATTTATCCTTTTGAAATAATCAGGTATTTCCCCAAAATTAACGTGTGAATGATCAAAGTGTTGCTCTTATACGATGAAACAATGTTGAGCCACAGAAAAAGCTCCCCCAAGGCACTCCGTGCGAGGCGAATGAAGAGCAGATCGTGCTAGTTGCGCTAAGTTCAGCATGAGCTGCGAGCAAGGAGAGAAATTGCAGCGTTGAAATGTTCACCGTTGTTTCCCAAATAATCATATCACCAGGTTCGCATTGATTGCCCGGTCCGGTGAGTCAGTCATGGTCGTCGCGGAGAGGAGGGGGCGCGGAAAAAGCCGGTGATCATGGAACTGAGGAAACCGATGTGGGATGTGATCACGTGATTTATACGCGGACGCGGGCGGCAGATGCCCCGCGTTGGGCACCAAAGAGTTATCTTCAGTCGAGATTCAAAAATGCAACCAAATTCTCCTTACAGAACAATTGGGCGTAATTTTGTTGATACATGATTTTCTGTCCACTGGCATTATTGTGCTGAACCGGCCACCACTATGATACCATATATTGACAATCAAATAGTAAGGGCGACTTTCTGACAACATACTGTAATACTAAAATGAATTCTCTAGAGCTGTAGATGGAAGCACTTGATATCTGTCTCCCTGTACTCCTCACCAGACTGGATTAGCTTGCGACACTTTTGCCTCGCCCGTTGTCTCCCTTATTGCTAAAGGATCGGATTTGGTCACAGGACAAGATGCTGGTGGAGGAGTCGAGGGAAACTAGCCGGCTGTTGGAAAGTGCTTACCCTATTATAGTTTGTTCTGCATTCAGAAGTAATTTTGTGATGATAGGTCCATAGTAAACGGAGCTTTATTAATTTTGGAAAGGAGGATATTAGAAAGACCTTTTTGTTGAGATAACTCTGATATGTGTTTCTTGGAAGGAGATTATTCCAAACTTGGTGGATCTTTTATGATTTATTGTTCTCGCAAATGCTTCATAGCGGTGGCCCTTGTATGATGAGCTTTCGTGGATGAACAAGGCATCGGAAATAATGTTTGCTTCGGTACACCCAGTGACTGACGCATACACCAACGCGACTTAACTCATCAATTTGCTCCAAGAGCTCGTTTCGGGAAACGTTGAGACTACAATAGAAGCTGTCTGCCTGGAATCCACGTCAAAGCGATAAAGGGTGCCTACCCCCAACCAGGCTATCGAATGCGAGGTTGTGGCACGCTCTTGCAGCCCAGCGAAAATCTCTCCCGTCAAGATTTCTTCTGACATCTCCTTCGCATTAAATGGGACTGAAGTGAGTGAGAGTTTCATCCGAAACATGTGAGCAAAAATTGGCACTCGCAATGCCCAGCTTTCCCCGAGTGCGAAATCCACTTTTGACGCCCGCCATTGATCTATCCCTCCATCTATCCCTCCATCTATCCCTCCATCTATTCCTCCATCTATTCCTCCATCTATTCCTCCATCTATTCCTCCATCTATTCCTCCATCTATTATCCCTCCATCTATCTTCGTGACAGCAATCTTAAACGTTCAGTCCGAAGACACCATTCCCTATGTACATATGTACCGGATAATGCCTGGCACAGAGCGACGAAAACCAAACCAACAGGTTAGTTAGTAAGCATAGAGATCATACAGACCTCCAAATCATCCGTTCTTCCTAGTAAATCTTTATCCTGTAAAAGATTCCTTTCATTCCGTAAACTGCATGGTGTCTGTGTCTTCCAAGGTCCAAGTTCTCTATTTGACATGTAACTAGTTAGTTAAACCGGAAGGCCTTGCTGCCTGGGCAATCATCTGACCCCCACTGCACACTGCACTGGTCCTGATCACGTGGTGTGACGCTTATATAACCAACCTCATATCATGTGATAGTTAACTACAGTCTTTTGGTACTATTAACTCTGATCCTTTTGTACGTCCCCCTGCCCCTGGATTCATTCGAAACCTTCACATTTGTTGGTATCCAATTTATCTTGCAATAACACACTCTCGACACTTTATTCATCTGCTTGATTCCAATACCGCCTCGCTCAGCTTAATATCAGTACCAAAAATTGTCAATTGACATGGAGTATCGTGCTTCAATCATTAGGCAGATTCATGGGGTTATAAGGGACTTCCTGAATTCATATGGATCTTCGACACCAATTCCACCAATTAGGATCGTTGGCGACACACCTAATAGCATTCTTGATCATTCCGAGTTTCTGGAATCAATCGAAACGATTATCGAAGAAGTCAAAAGTGCCGTTGCTACTTGCCGCCCAGACGCTGAAACTCGCTGGATTGCTGTAAACAAGTTTGAAGGGCGCCGTTCCTTTTTTGTCCTCGACATCAACAATGTCGGATATGACTATGATTCTGCTCATAAGTGTCTAACCAAGGTCCCTGTCTACATTCTTCGGCTATCCAGAGCGCCCAAAATTTTCAGACATGGGCGTCAGGACCAAAAGCTAGCAGAGACTCTTGCGGAAATGCACGACATGCATGGGAAAAAGCCACTACCTTTATTTGACGACCACACCAGACCTCGTGTGTACGACTCTCCCCGTGGTCTACGGGCCTGATATTTCTTAAGGTGTTGTCTCCGCATTTCTGCTTGAGATGGCTAGGTTATGGTCGGAAAGATCTAAGTTCATATCGAGTAGTTGATTCACTTAGAGGCAATCGCTTTAAAATCGGCTAAACAATTTGAAGCCGCCGCCGAGAACTCTCTTCCAACTTTGCTCAATTTTTTCTCTCTGGATATTTTTAGTCAATCTGCAATGACAAAAGCTGCTTCTTGTTTGTTTACCTGCCGTATTTGGCCACCATGGTCTTTTTGCTCAAAATGAGAGTATTTTGCATTCCCCACCACCGACGTCCATGCGCAAGTATGGTTCTGTCAACCGGATCGATTTCGAATATATAAAATACATCCGTAACGAGAGATTCTCAACCATCCTTTCTATATGCTCGAGGCATTCTTGTCCGAAAGGTCGGTGCCAGCCTAAAGAGCCACAAATGCGATGAGGATTTTGGGATTAATGCATCATCTTCCGGATGGACGGGTTGTACGCAGCTTCGGTCGTCCTAACATTTCCACTACAGCCGCGGGCAAACCCTATACTACAATCCGAATCGTTTGAATTTTCGAATTTTCGTCATTTTATTCACAACGAGACTGACCTCATATAACCTTGCATACGATTCTCCGAAGCTCCCTAAGTCGCCATTGATGAACATGGTGATTGTGGTAGAAATCGGAAACAACACATCTGATAAATGAAACATAATGATCTTATAATCCCCTTTGTCCTGTATCCCCATTTTCTATCATATCTGACTAACCTGTTATAGATTAGCATGTCGAGTTCGATTTATGGTCCTATTTGAGGAATAATACACCGAAGTCCTTTGCTCATTAGGGAAGAGAGAACCTACGTTTAGGGGTACTCCTCTTGGCTGCTAGGTGGCGTTTCCAACGAATGGGTAGCGCATTTCGTATTTTGGTAATCAAAGGTGGTTTCCTGTCGAGGGCTTTGTGTGGTAGTCTGACAATTACCAACTGAACAAGGTTGGGTTTTGTAGATACGCCCGAAACATCCCCGACAACCATTGTGGACAATCTGCATCCAAGTACACATCTGTAATTCATCTTAGTGATTTATGCCATATCAGAGCGGTATAATTGACCTTTGTCGCTTGAAGAAGCCTTTGAAACAATATATCAACAGTCGAGGAGTGCTTTCCGTGCTCTTGATGCTCTGGAGTCGAAGAGAACTATCTGTAAAGAAAAAGATAACTGAGCGTTTCTCTAGAGGCTCGAGCGATATTTGCTGTGAATAAATGACGACGCTGCTGTGACGAAAATAAATTGGCTATTGAGGTTTATTATGTGACCCCATCTTAATTTGTCCGGTGTCTTAGAGGGCAAGGTGAATCTTTTTAAGATCCAATCGTGGCTTCCAGACACGACCGAGCGGGGAACCCTGTCTAGAAGACGCAGATACCACGACCCAAAGGCGCGTCCATTGCGGCGCCATATCCGGAGCCGCCGACCATTGGCTGCAGGTAGGCAAATTCTCAGAGCGAGGAGGTGACCACTGCTTTTAGCTGGTCCTGTTACCAAGATGTCTGAGCTGAAGCCGCCCCAATGTGACAAAGTACGAGTGGCTGAACGGTCTAGGGTCCAGGCTTTAAGTAGCGCCTGGTTTTCTCTCTTGACGTGGCGAACTGGGGTCAGTGATTAGTGAGTGTACTTGGGTGTTTACCCTGCGTCAAGAAATCAAGAAAATAGTAGCCCAGTCTGTGCTGCTGAAAGAGGTCCAGTCCAGGACCAGGATCAAGGAAAACAAAAATAACCTGCTGTTTTCATGATCGATTGGCAGAGGTGTTAAGATGGAAGGACAAGAAAATAGGGGTTTATCTCTATAGCACGAGCGGCATACGGACTAGAGAAAATGAAGGAGTCTTTGTCCCCTTGTTGGTGCGTCCTGCGCGTTTAGTCTGCTGCCATGGGCCTTGCAACGACTGGCAAGCAGCGCTCACACGGTGGTAAGAACTAGATGCAGATGATGCGCAGACCTGCGGCTCCCTAGAAATAGCAACAGCTCTTTGTGGCGTGGCTATTGGGTCAAGTGGATGAGCGGGCGAGTCCTACTCTACACGATCGGTCAGTGATAGAATCGATTGGCAGACAGGTCCTCTCTGAATTCTATCCTTCCGGAGCCTTTCCGTCGAACAAGACGTGATCGGTCTAAGGAGAATACCTACGCTTTACGGGAGACTTCTTTCTACTGCCCCGATATGGTTCCTTTTCCAATCATAATATAGCCATATTCAATATAAGTGAGTTTAAACGGCGTATTCCCTATAACTGCTAAGAGGTATGCATCGGTTAATGTTTTTAGCCATTTACGCGTTAAGTAAACGGACTAAATCTTTTGAGGTAATCGGTTGTTAGGGATTGTCTCTACTTCGACGATAGAGCATTATATTTGGATAGCAATCATCTAATATACCGCTAGACTATAATCCGAGTAAGTATCGTTAGGTACAAAATTACGTATTGTGATATCGGGCCTAGTTGCCTTGATTATTTCCCGCGTCCCGTGGATAACCTGCTCGTTGGGTGGATAGGGAGGATGTAACTAGGCTGAAGCCCTATTTGCGGCTAATTGCTTGGTTCGATCCGGAGCCTAATAAGTCTGGCGACTACGAGCGACGCTGTATAGCCGAGGTTATACAGCTAGTCTAAGATCTTGTAGGCACTCGGTAAGCTGCTACTTTTAGAGAATCCGGTAGACATAACGGCGGTTCATAAGATGAACCGGAATCAAGACTCGTATACTCCAAGGTTATGCTACCGGAGTAAGGAAGAGTTAGCGATAGTTCTACTTTAGGAATCTAGGAATGAGTGTGGTTAAAACTGGTCGTCTAAAGAGGAAGCTCTGGTTGTGCGGAATTTTGCCATTCTTGGCCACGCGTAGGTAAGCGAAAGGCCATCAAATATAAGTAGAGTGTTCTTATAATAGAAGTCTTCGGTTACCTTTTTCTAATAAACGCCAAGAAGACAGCTCACTAGGACATCTTCTATATAATTCCCAATAAATAAGTCTCATATACAATACCTAAAATTGGTAGGGCAATGAGCTGGAACTTCGGGAGAGATCGACCCAAATGCTCCACTGTAGGCCTATTTGTAAAGGAAGTAGTGCTTTGAAGGGGCTATTGGGAGAACGCTGCCCTGACAGTCTTGCATCGGGTTTGATTATAAAATCAATATTCAGCACTTGGGCAGGAGTTCCTTGTACTGCATTATGAGGACCAAACCATTGGTCGAAATATGACCATATCTACTTGTCGAGAAAGAATAGAATGGAGTTGACTGCGATCTCTAGGGCATTGATTACCAAGGGATATGGAGGAGTCCTGGGACAACGAGAACCACTGAGCTACCATATTCGGAGTGGTCACAACTTGATTCATATTGTGCCTCTACTTCTCTATTACTATCATATACAGACAGCCTACCTTCATATAAAACCGACACACATTCTAAGCCAGGCATAATCAATCAAGAAGCCAGTCGTGTTGGAGTCTGATTCGGACGTGATGAGAATCAAGCTTCGCCTACAGGGGAACTCTTGACACTTGGACGAAGTCGAAGTGAAACTGGTATCAGTGGCTACTCGATGATATTTGAAAAGTAGAAACTATTCTCAACGACTCACATGTATGAAATAGTGAGACAACGGAGGTACATATTAATGGCCCGGGGAGACATGGTGAGCAATCATGTAGATACGGCATCTCGCCAATTTGAAGTACCTGGGTACATACCTAAATAGGTAACCAGCCCCCAGGATCAGGTGCCAGGTGCCTTCCCTTTTCGGTCAAAACTCGCTTACTACGCGCAGGTTCAATGTTTGCATTATACTTCTTTCCTATTTGGTCTATTTTGTCAAAACTCGCTTACTGAGCACAGATTCAATGTTTGCATTATACCCATTGGGAAGGTATAAATACCCCCTCCCCCCAACTTCTCTCTTCTTCTTTCTTCCTTCTTCACCCCACTCCGGGTCCACATTGCACATCGTGGTTCCTGTTGAGTACCCTTCAATTTTTTGTTTCACCTTTGGTTCTGGCTTCAGGTCTCTATTCAACATATTGATGCTGTTGTCAAGTGATCGGTTTATCCTGATGACTCTGGCGGGTCTCTGTAGGCGGCCCTCGTTAGGCTGCGAATGGCACGAAGCATGTCTGGGAGGTAACAGGTGTAGGTTCTCCGGAGCTGAGGCACTCCTATGCACCGCTGCGGAAACAGACTGTACTGGCTTGGGTGCTCCCGTTGTCCGCCAGGAGCCGAACCAAGGGGCTCTCTTCTTATCTCCTATTCTTGCTCTTTCAGTCAATCTTTTGTGTTTCTCACTCTCTGTTGTCCCTTTCCATACCCAGCTGCACGGGTCCTGTGTGCGGCACCTGAACAAGACTTGCACCTTTACGCGGTGTTCAGGATGAGTAGCCTTTATGGTGAAACCAAGCAAGTCCTCATTGTCTAGAACTACAATAGAACTTGATAAAATTTATTCAATACGCACTGTGTTTTTGTTGCTTTTGCAGTAAGCTATGGACTTGTAGTTTGACTTAAACTGTGTAAACAACCTTGGCCTGAGATAAACACAAGGCGTTCGACGGTGCCTCCTTAAATACACGTCAAAATCTGCATGTGTGCTCCCATTCTTCATGTCAAGTTCCTGTCCCCTACAATTGTCTTTTAAATTTCCATTGCCACAACAAACTGACATATCCACAAACCCCTGATCTCTCGTATCTCTCTTACATTACAGTGAGTGTCCACAATACATTTATCGGCCAGCCCCTTTCTCTATTGAACTAGACTCAGACTTCTGAAGTGTTGTACCTTGACAAGCATCTCCATATGAGAACCTGCTAACCTTGAATATCATAGACCACGAACCTTTCTACCCTTAACGAGTTACAACAAATACCATGGCCTTTCCACGCCGTTTTGGCTGGCTCGCAAGACCGTGGTCATTTGCTCCTCCTCAACAGCCCAGACTGCACCCGGGCAAGACCGGACAGCTGGTGACATACGACATCACTTCCGAGATGCAGTGCCCGCTGTTCGACCAACTGCGGTGGTGCTTCAAGCTAGACTTTATGTGCGGATATCAATCTACATGGGGTCTTCCTGATCAACGCTGGACCGAGGGTGGAGAACAGTTCTATCGAAGGAATGAGGAGGCCGCACGTTAAGTGGGTGAATTTGTCCAGTCAATACCATTCATTGTTTGATTATTGACACTTGCTAATTTGGGATCTTATCACAGTCAAGCACTGTTCATCCTCGACACCCACCTTGTCTTTTACCCAGCCCTTCAGGAAACGAGAAACGAGAAACCAAGGACCCAACCCTGATCATAAAATATGATAGCCCAACAATTGGCTTAAAATATCCATGGAAACTTTACTACTTCCATGTCCAAACTGGCGGCCAAACATGCCAATTGTGCAAGGAAAATGAGAGCATGAAACCGTGGCTGTGGAAGCTTTACAACGCTAGCGATGACTTGTGCAAAGCAGCCTCTTATGCAAACGGGTTCACTCTCATTCCGGAACCTGCATTTACTGGCCATGGGACCCTTCTAGGTGACAGGATACGGATTCTGAAAGTATGGCAGAAGGGCTGTCGTAGTGGTCTTTTACATCTGGGTCTCTGGTGATGTACTGCAACTGTCACTCATGGAAACGATAATTGCCTGCCATTTTCATCGAATAACAATCAGATTTTTCTATCACTCTATCATTTTATTTTACTAATAGGAAAAGTGCTATGCAACAACCATGCGTATGGTTGCTTATACGGGTACTCGAACAAAAATAGAAAAACTGCAGAAGGTTTAACACTGAGAATTGAGTTGGCAAATTTAGATTTAGGTTTCTTCCTCATTCATGGGTCGGTTTCCAATGCAGTCTCCTCAATTTCCCCTTTTTGCAAGTCTCATTCCGAGGAACGAGATACCGCTCTATGGCCTTGTAACCCATTCTAGCAACACGTCGATCCTCGAGAATACAACCAGAAAGCTGGCTCTTAAACAGTATCTCGCTGTGTACCCAGGTATCATTGTATCCATTCCTCGATGGTTCCACCAGCGTAAGTAGTTGTGAGTTCGTTTATTCCTATTGACGGAATGAGGTGACATACCGATAGTGCGCGAGGCAGCTCTCGAGGACTGTGGGGTGGTGTAGATGTAACGGGGGCTTTCCTTGATGTTGTTGGCAAAGAAGGGCTGTGCTTTTGTTAGTTGTTAGGCATGTCTGCGCATCTGGTGCGCATGAGTCTGACAACCCACCAGAGTGTGCGGATGTGTCAACGTTGTGTTTTCCCACCACATGTTTCCGGGAATTATCAAGGGCAGGACTCCACTTGACAGCATCTTCCAGTGCACACTTGACGACGGAGAGGCGAATCTGTTTCTATTCAGGGGCGAGTTTCGGGTGACCAGTGACCGAGTTGGCTCGATCGGCCGCGAACTCATCGATCACCTCTCGTGATTGTTCGAATGCTGGGTCAGAACTGTAAAGATTGAAGGAAGAATCCGGTATCGCTAATCCATAGCATCTCGCCATATTCGACGCGAAGTTCTTGAGGGAGCTGGTGAATTCTGAGTATTCGATGGTACCAATGTTTTTCACCCGCTCTGCGGGAGACATTGTTGGCTATGACTTTCTGTTAGTAAAAATGTATAGAAAAGTCTCAAATTCTGAGGATCGTACAAAGAAAGAGCCATGCTGGGGGATACCAATGGTGAGTGCGTAGGAGATGGCCTCAGACTCCGAGGAAAGTCACTTACGATGTGAAATCGATTGAGAACGAGGGTGGTGAATCATGGGCAAACACCTCATCACCTCGAGAACGCTTGCCGGGGTTGCTGCCTTCGTGGTGCACGTTGACAAATGGATAAGAGCCAAAGTAGCCCTTCAGAACTGAGGATTCTTGAAACTTTCAAATGTTGGTATATGATCATCTGTATACGATCAGTGTGTCGTTCTAATAATTGATGTGAATATGTTTGCTTTACCTGACCAGAACCATCCAGGTCAAGCAGATTTAAACTCGGACACAGACGCGAAGAGTAAGGCGGAAGAATGAATCGAGCCGTGGATGATTCAGTGCAAAGGGATTGTGGATTTTGTAGGAAATGATTTAGGGAGAGTACGATGTAGGAATCAGGAAAAATGTTCAATATTTTATATGCTCATATTGTTACTGTCTACTCATATATAAACCCATGTTTAATCATAAAATTATTATGACGTTGAAGTTTGTGTCTTCATTGCCGAGGTTGAATAATTGAAGTACGTACATCGAGACACCAACAAAGTGGACATAGAAACAAGACAACAACAAGGTGGACATAAAAACAAGAGATAACAAGAGAAAGAGACAACAAGAAACAATAAGAGACAACAAGAGACAACAAGAGAAAGAGACAACAAGAAACAACAAGAGACATTAAGAGAAAGACAACAAGAGACAACAAGAGAAATAGATAACAAGAGAACGAGACAAGATACAACAAGACAACAAGAGACAGCAAGAGAAAGAGACAACAAGACACAATGACAACAGAATAGGACCATCAATAGGAAGGAACCTTTGAGAAAAAAAAGGCGTCCTCAGAAAGATCTTCGGACAACAGAGAGCTATCTCTGTCATAAAGGTTCCAAAAATTATTGTCGAAGGAGATGAGAACAGAGCCCCTTCCTAGTTTGAAGATCCTTTGGTTCGGCTCCTGGCGGACAACGGGAGCACCCAAGCCAGTACAGTCTGTTTCCGCAGCGGTGCATAGGAGTGCCTCAGCTCCGGAGAACCTACACCTGTTACCTCCCAGACATGCTTCGTGCCATTCGCAGCCTGACGAGGGCCGCCTACAGAGACCCGCCAGAGTCATCAGGATAAACCGATCACTTGACAACAGCATCAATATGTTGAATAGAGACCTGAAGCCAGAACCAAAGGTGAAAAAAAAAATTGAAGTGTACTCAACAGGAACCACGATGTGGACCCGGAGTGGTGTGGAGAAGGAAGAAAGAAGAAGAGAGAGAAATTGGGGGGAAGGGGTATTTATACCTTCCCAATGACTATAATGCAAACATTGAACCTGCGCGCAGTAAGCGAGTTTTGACAAAATAGACCAAATAGGAAAGAACTATAATGCAAACATTGAACCTGCGCGCAGTAAGCGAGTTTTGACCGAAAAGGGAAGGCACCTACCTGATCGGGAAGGTGCATTGGTACTGTCCTCCTTGTGACCCCCGGGGCCTCATTCAGAGCTTACGTAGTCTATATCTAACCTTGGAACAATATAGTTCGGTCCCGATAATTACTTGACTGCCTTGGTTAGTCGGTTTCAAATTTCAATGTTCTACCTGGTGCCTCAGATAAATGTTGTCGATATGCTTGACTCGCACCAAGAGCCTGACCCGTTCATCTCGTCAACAAGAGGCTAATACTTGATAGATCCTATCCGCCTAATTTAACGGACTTTACTTTCCCCAATACCCACGCCGCGATTCCGCTGACGTGGACTGATTGATGAGGAAGTCCCATATCCACTCGGAGACGCTTGCCATCTACCACCTGATTTGTGTGGCTTTCAACAAGGCACAAAACGCGTGTGACTGCTCAATCCATCAATTGTACCTTGAATCAAGTACACCATAAGACACCCACACACTTCCCCCGAAGAGGGCTCTCGTTCGGGTCGAACCGGACTACGGCGACGATTCTGAATGTCTCCCAGGACAAAGCAAAGAACCTATAATATCATTGCGCAATGCTCGAGTCCCCACAAAACAATCTTTGCCATCAGACAAGACCACAGCTTGAGAGTCACTTGTCGCCATCCTCCATCACTATGCTCCCTATTCTGCTAGGATCAAAGGCACTGCGACCAGGCTTGGAGACGACCAGGAGGATGACATTGGGGTTGTCACATTGTATGATGGTAGACACCGCACTTGCATGATGAGTATTCAGACACGGAGGAGCATGTCCGAAGCTCACGCTAACTCACAACTGCATTTCTTGGCGGGGACAGGGACCCGACTTTCTGAGCCGCTCGTCCAATCGGGCAACACAACGGCACGGCTCGGGCCGAACCCACGCGGCGCGAACCTCCATGACTACTTTGAATATGATACATACTTGATTCTCCTGATCACCGCAACAAAGGCCCATGATTTTATAGTATACTTTGCCAAGATTCAGATTCAATATATCTCATCTACATAGATGACGTACATCATGTCCACCATACCAAACATTCTCGAAGATTTCGATTAGGACCGGGACTTTCTTCAGTGAATGCTTCGAGAAATGACATATCAGGTACAGGTTCGGGTTCATCCGTGGGCCTCAAAGGGGACGCCAAATCCCGAGGATCGGTCTCTGGTGGCATGCCCGAGGGATTCTCAACAGGAATCTATTGCCCCTTAACGACTCCAGGACCTCATTTTTGGCATCATTTGGCCTTTGGTCACTCTGAGCTGTAAATTTATACCCTCTGCATTCGACCCCGCGCAAGCGACAGTTGAAACATGATAATTTTGTCTCATCACATTTTTGGTGCCGTCGACGGAATATGTGGCATCCTAAATAACAAATAAGATTCAGTGGTCAGGATAGGTCAGTGGAGGGGGAGAAGGGTGTGCTGGAGATAACAAACAATACCGCTTTGGGGCCTCCTCTTAAGCATAGCAGACTCAGTTGGGGGCATTGGGATATGTTTCGAGGATATGAATGGGTTAGGCACTGAGAACAATGTATCGCATAACGAGCTGATTGTGGGTCTCAGCTAGACTGCGACATGGCCCATGTATTTCTACCATATATTCAACCATGGTATTCGACGTATACCACTAAATGGTACCATAAAATTTCCGTACTATATTTCTATCGCCATCAACACACATACTTATACACTATGCAATTTCATAGGGAGTAACCAGCATTTTATTGCACTAATATAAATTTCAACGCATTCCGATAGCAAAAGTTCAACATTCTGTAGTTCCCAAACCAAACCCTCTCAACCCTCTTCACACGAAGTCCTTGATATCTCAAACAATGTTGACGTGGAACAAATACCGTTGGCGAATCTGTGCTGGGATTCTCGCCACATACTCAGAGTGGTAAAGACCGGGGTAGCTGGCTGAAGCCTTTGTTCCGGCATGAACATCTGGCACCTTGGTCCCCTTGAAAGATGGGTGAATATATCCAGCATCGCGCCATTTCTGATGGACAGTTCTGCCAATAAATTGATCTGAGAAAGCCGAGAGTTTACCCAGCTCGACTTCACATAGTAACATCAAGGCTTCTCCTTTCTCTTGGCAGTATCCTGCCGACTTGGTGGATATGTCGGCAAAGAATACCCCACGAACGAATTGCTTCCCATTGGCACTGACAATTCCATCGCCACGGAGCCCTTGACTCAAGATCCCTGCAAAGTTGCTAGATACTGAGCCATGCCACAGTAGTCGCCGGTCTCCGACATTAGCAAGGTTTTCCTTTTCCCATTGGGTAAAACGCTCTGCTTCCCCGGGACGTTCGAGACGGAATATACCCATTATCTCCTAGAAATGTGAAAGCGTTAGACCAGGCTTTTGCCAATATAATTTAAACGTAGCTTGCCTTGAATTGATATGGGTGGCCTGGACTAGAAGATTTTTCAATAAACTCTCGGAGCATCTTGAACTCTGTCGAGATTACCTCCACTGTTAATAAGAGACAAGGGTTAGCTTCGGGGTTTTATGCCTTTACAAACCACTCAAGAATTTACAATAGGGAGACACCAAAGAAATATATACCTGGAGTCATTCTTGCGAGACCCAGTACTTGGGATATTCGGCCCATGGCCAATGAGGAAGACTGGGATTTTTTCCCCAGAATCTCGCTCGCATCGTGCAATTTGAGTAAGAGATCAAGGGATTCCAGTTCCTGTCTGACAGTGTCATTGGTGTCTGAAAGAGTCCCATTTGTGAGAATCAAGCTTTTGTAGATCTCGCACAATCTCTTCTTCGCCTTGGAATGGTCCCCAAGTGCCAGCTGAGGATTGGTGAGCTCCATCAGTTTGCCCAAAACTGCAGTCCCAAGCAGAAGCTTTTTCTTTTCCATTTTAGCTCCAGGAAAAACACTGCGCCCGAGATTGTTTAAGCACGTGACGTATTGCTTCAAGCTTCCTGATGTGAAGATGAGTTTCAATACATTTTCAACACCTACCGGTAACGGGCTGATCTTGCTGGTGATGATGGGAGCCTCCCTGTGATGCATCTCAAGAAAGAACCAGCCTTTACCCTTCGAAGGGGGAGGAGCATGTCGATCTTTCCAGGCTAGACCACTGAATGACTTGAACTCCTCCGTAAACGTACTCTTGGCCGAGTTGAGGGTTCCGAGAATTTCCTTTATATCTGATTTTTTAGGTGATCCAAATGGGTATTGCGAGTCCCATGTGTGGAACATTTGTAACTTGTGATGACGGACAAGTTGAATTCGTAACACCTCGACTTGTTTTTTCACATCAAGTTTGACCAACGTGGCATCCCATATCAATCCCGCGTCGTCCTGGTAAACGGAAACCGTACCATCTAAGAACAAAAGTGTTAGACATTCAAGTCTTGGAAAAGAGAATGTTACATATCGAGTCACTAACCCGATTTTGGGTATTTATCGTCAACCAAATCGATCAGCCTCTTGAGGTTGATCCGTTCTTCATCCTTCGTTTTCTTGGAAGTGTTTCCTTCGTTGTCAGAAGGGTCTCGCTGACGTTTTCCCCCTTTAGGTTTAACATCTTCATCTTTCTCGCGCTTGAATATCTTTATCTGCTCATCCTCTGGGATATGCTTCTTGATCTTCTTGATCAGCCAGTCGATGTTCACAATCTCGCAGCTTTCTAGTTCACGGGCTCGATTGACTGAAACGAAATCGCCCTATTAGTTGAAGCTTATACCGGGGATGCGAAACTCGATGCTAACTCTTTTTCAAGTTTTTCTTGGCGCTTGCCTCGGTTGTTACGATATGAGTACATTCGCTGATATTCATCGATGCAAATTTCGCACCACATTTTTCGACCATCCGCTTGATTTCTCCTAGATAACGGGGTGTCATTCATCAAATGATATCTAGGAACTGCTTCTCTCTCTCTCTCTCTCTCTCTCTCTCTGTGTGTGTGTGTGTGTGTGGCTTCGCCTTGATTCGAGGAACAACATACCATGTTGATATCCAGGGATTGTGCCACTGGCGCAGATGACCAAATCCTTCAGATTATCGGCTAGCTTGTCTGCCGACTTGTCTACCGGCTTGTCTACCGGTTTGTTGGAAGTCATCTTCCCCGATGAAAAAGAAAGCTCGCACTAATTCTGATTCTAGGAGAGCATTGAAAGAAGAACCAAAGATGAAGTACCTACGGAAATAAACCTAAACCATCGTTATGGGAGAAGCGGATTGCCCTTTTAAACATATTGGGCACTGCAACAATGGGATTGTCAGTCAAACAACCAACAAAGAAATCATCCAACGCCCGTTTCAAGCCCCCGGCCTTCTCCTTCGATGCCTGAGGTTAAAGGATGTAGGCACATGCCCGAAAATATCTAGCGAATTTCTACAGTTGAAGTGGTTTATGGGGAAGCCCTTTGTGGATATATTACAGTCAAGAGAACAATCCTTGAACACCTACAGCATAGCACCTTATTTCGAGAACTTGAGAACTCGAGAGTTATTGATTAATTTAACCAAAGCAAATCAGCATCCATTAGCTAAAAATTAGTGAAACTAGGTTGTTCCGTTTGGACTCGAGAATGGAAACTAGCACAAGAACCATCATATCCTCCCCTTCGAACTTCATCAAACCACAAATCCGATTAATCTTGATAAAGAACCGACTAGTTGCATGTGAAATAGTTGAAAGCCACAAGAGGACCAAGCTTGATACTCTCCGCCCAAGCATCAAGATCGTACCGAATGCGATTCGAATTGCCAAACTTCTTGCCAGCGGCAGGCGCATGGGCCGTGAGATCAAAGCCCGCAGGCTGTTCGTAAAGGAAAAACATGTACCGATGAGGTGCACTCATGGGAGGAGGAGCGGGGCCGATGTAATTGGCGATGAAGGGTGCGTCAGACACAAGCACACCTTCGCTGGTGACCTTGATATCGGACTGGATCCAGTGAAGGATGGGTCCCAGGATTCCGAAGGAAGGGAAAGGTGCGTCAGTATCCAAGCTCACGACCAGGTAGGTGCTGGTGGGGTTGGCGCCGGCGAAGGAGAGCTTCGGGGGCTCTTGGGCGGCTGTGGTTTTTGTCAGTTCATATCTCGATATTCGATTGCCTATCACACGACTTGGGGAGGGGAGATAAGGGAGAGAAGGGAAGAGGATGCCAGGAAATGGACCGGTCCGTACCTTTGCGGGGGAGCCATGTGCCTGGCTGGACGCTCTCATGGCTGCCAATGGTCAAGCCAAGGACCTTGGACTTGTCCTCGATGAGAGCCAAGCCCGCTTTGACGTGGTTATCCGAAGGCATTTTGGATGGAATGAACCTGGACGATGATGAAAGGTTGAGAGATGAGATCTTGGAGTGATGGAACAAAGGATTTCCAGGTACCCATGTGTCTCCTGCCAAAATAAAGTTGTACAAGCTTCGGACTTAGCACGGAGATACCGTTCTTTCTCTTTTGGGTACCGAGGTATTTCTACACATACATACCTACGTACCTAGGTACATATGTAACTAACTAGTTATGTAACTGTATGTAACTGTATGTACACGTAGTACGAAGCCTATTTCCGGTAAATATTGATGCCTTGATGCCTAGCTTTGGCCTGGTTATTGACCGCTCCTTACACCGCTCTACACAATGTACTGTAAATCATTCTACGACGGACAAATGCCTGAATTTAATGCCTGAATGTCTTGCATTGCATTTGGGGGTGGTTTTGTGTTTGGGTGTTAGACCCTCGCAAGCGAGGGTCCCTTTTTTTGCTTAGAAAAGAAGTGGGGCCGGTTAGGCGCCGTAACCCATAAAAATGAAGCTTTTGATCCCTATACAAACGGCGATATCTCTATGTTTTTAGATGGTTTGTAGGTGCCAAAAATGAAGTTTTTCATCTGCATACGAATGGCAGTATCTCCATATTTTTAGACGGTTTATAAGTGTGAAAGATGAAGTTTTTGATCCCATACAAAGTGAGATGAGATATCTCTACTGACACTTGCAAACCACTAGAAAACATAGAGATATCTGAATTTGTTTGAGAAGAAAAACTTTATTTTTGATACTTCCAAACTGTCTAAGAATGTCAAGATATCTCTATTTGTATGCTGATGAAAAGCTTCATTTTTGATACTTGCAAACCGCCATAAAACATGGAGATATCTGCATTTGTATGCTGATGAAAGGCTTCATTTTTTGAGAGTTGTAAGCGCCAGCAAAATCAGGCTACTTTGTATTGGAAGTGTCATGGTAATTCAGGTATTTTAATTCTTCTGCCGGTTGTAATTCAGGCCGCCAGGCCATATCTAGGCATCAAGGCATGAACATTTACCGGAAATAGGGTTTTGGCAGCTGGCGCCTATACCGCTTCGTACACATAGGAAACATGAATACATGTACATGTTCAATTTTGCAACTAACTAACTATGTTGTTAAGAATACTTGATCAACCACAGTAGGAATAATAAATGCAAACAGTACAAGCAACAAGAAATCCCGAGTACTGTTTGAAAATAAAAATAAAAATAAAAATACCACGCAGAAACGCAGAGACAGATCAGGGAAGCTGTGGACACGGGGCAATCCTCACTTCGGCGTGAGTGATCTCTTTGATATCCTCAAAAATATCAAATATGCAGGATATCGACATTGTGTTCTTCCGGATGTTGCTGCTGTTCAAGAGCCGCTGTTCAAGACCCCAAAGACCTCGCCCGTGGACGTATACACCCACGAACCAGAATAGCCGGGCTTAATCCTCTACAGCAAGCAACATCTTGTCAAGCAAGAGCACTTTCTGCTTGGGAGGTGCCATTTTCTCAGATCAGTTGAAAAAGGCTAGCAAATGGCTGGGAAAAGGATCCCTGAACTGAGTCTGAAGTGAATCTGAAGTGAATCTGAAGTGAATCTGAAGTGAATCTGAAGTGAATCTGAAGTGAATCTGAAGTGAATCTGAAGTGAATTATATTAAATTGTATGGTAACTAGTGGAGTCGTATATCCCGGTGTAAGCATCGGTATCCACGATACTTATACTTCGGCCGGAACATCCACACTGGGTGGTCTTGTCCAGCTCCAGCTGCCCAGCGAATCGCGATGGCGCACCTATGGTCTAACTTGCTTCTACGCCGTTTGGCCCCCGGAAGAGAATCGCTCGAAACGAATGCTACAAATTGCAGGAGCAGAAACCGGTAAGTGAGGATCTCCTATATGCAACTTCCCAGCTAATATGGTGATTATAGCGCTTTCGAACTGGGAGTACGGACTACGGCCCCCTCAGACTCGAACCCCCACCCTCCGCTATTGCCAGAAAGATCTTGAGAGTTAATCATCCATCTTTGAGAGAACTCCGACGTACTATCACCTTGACAGATGATGCTATCGAAAGCTCCAGGACCAATGAATTTCTCGAGCTGGAAGCAACCCAAAGGGCAATTAATGAGGGGGAAGACTTGTGGATGCCAGAATCCGCCGCCAGACGTTACAAAGCAGTAGAACCCTCCAAGCCGCGCGCCAAAGCAGTCAAGTATGGACTGGGCCTTGGTTGACGTCGCCCCTGGCCGAATCCAGGCACAGATGCATGGCGATGAGGTTGACGGTAATCGGGTAAGATTAAATGGGTTATGATGACATTCATGGGAACAAAACGAACTGAGTTCTCTACGGTTTACGAGTTTGTCGAAGCCGTAATAAAGCGTCACAAAGCTGCGAATGACCTCAAAGCAAACCTTCACCCATGTCTTGCTATGGTCATGATGATGACTCAACTCCAGGAGATCCCTGAGATGCAGAGCGCGATTGTCATTAAGACCGTTGAATTAAGGAGCTATAGTGATCCAGCTAAGCAGATCACTATGACGGATTTCCTAAGATGCGGTTCTGAGATGCAGGACAAAGCTCGCCTGATTGGCATCGACGGGGGCGTTAGTGCTAGCGCCACAAAGGCTTCTAGGTTTCAACAACAATCATCTCATCAACCATCATCAGCAGTTAGCCAGAATACATTGCATTGCTGATCTCTTCCCTTCTCTTGACTCGCTGTCAGGTTATTTAGGATTTTGATTCCGTGGCTAATGTATGGTCCTTCTAGCCTTTCCATCGCGATTCCACTACCTTCACCCTGCCCCGGGAACTCCTCTTCAACCCCCAGCTGCAGGTTGATCCCCCAATGAAGCTCTACAAGTCAGGACGCTCAACTGGAACCACTTATGGTTACTACAACGGTCTCGCGACGGTGGAAATCCGTGGTCTGATAACGTCAAACGGGGGATTTCACAAGGTCGTTACATGGGAGCATGCAATCGCGGGATCTTCAGATTCACTTCAGATTCAATTTTTAATTTCGCTGCGCTTCTTCACCTCTTAGCTCCTCTTCAACAATTATTTTAACTCGACTCTCATCCAATCTTCGACTCTTTGCTACATCTTCGGCACTTCTCTACATTTTATCTGACGCTGTTTCAACGCTTCCTCTACTCCCGTCTTCAGATCTGTCTTTCTGTGACAGCCTCTAGACACCTTCACAATGTTGCCTACGTCTTCAGTCGCATCCTCGACCTTTAGTAGGGTCAGTGCCCACGCACTTAGTTTCTCTTCCGCTTCCTCCACTTCCTCTCCGTTTAGCGGAGCTTCGCATATCGATCATCGTGGCTTTCTCAAGTCCTCCCGTCGTACGGGTGGGCCAGTCTTGACTTCTCTCCCAACGTGGACGACAGAGAACACATTTACCGACAGTCCAGCGCAGATTCACGACCGTGCGAGAAAAATACTAGGTGATCTCAAAATCAAGTTCCCCGTTGTGGTTTTGAAAGGCCGCACATCAAAAGTTGACCCTGAGCCTATGTTACAACCTGCCCCTGGACTGGCGAGTTACACACTAGGCCAAAAGACCATTATATCTGAGCATTCATTACGCTCAGATAGACCAGTTTACGATATATATATATAGTGCATGACATGACACCCTACGCCAATTCCCACCGTTCGTGTCCTCATGCCAGACCACCCGCAGCCTGGTCTCTGGTATCAGGCTGCCAAACAGATCCATCGCGATTTGCAGCCCTGCCTACCTAGAATGTCCGTCGAGATTATCGAAGAGAAGTTATACGACGGACTGCATTGTTTCCCCATGGAGCGGGGACCCACTCCATATATTCCAAAAGGAAGAAAATTGCTGAAACTATTCTGACGAACCTCGATATTCGGGAGTGGACAGGTATAGAGTGCTGGCGGTATGGAACCAATACCGCCGGACACCTGAACCCTGTCACCATAATAGTGGAGGTTGATAAGACGTCCACCGGGTCTTTTCTCACCGCAGTTCAGCTCATTCGGGGCATACTTGCCCACTTTAGTGAAGCTAGAGTTGATGTCCTGTCCATGAAGGACGGGAAGCAACCCCTGGTGGAAAATCCAACTGTACATCGCGATGCTTGTATGTAGTTGAAGAAGGAAGAATTCAGAACTGCCAAGTCTACGCTAATATTTGCTAGCGCGGTGTATTGCATATACCATCTACACCAATTTGTAAGTTCATTGGTAAGAAAAACATAGTATTTGGATGAAATAAAATGCCAAGATTACTAGCTTAAACGTATAACTATGCAGTGTTACACATAACTATTGCAATTAGATGGAAGTGGAAGCTGATTATGATAATCAACAATGACGAGGAGTTTCTAGGTGTAGCCTGATCTAACCAGGCATTATCACAAGATATTCGAGAGATAATTTCCATCTAGCTACTAAACTTCGTCCTCAAGGGGAATTGTTCGAAATTCAGTTACACGCTCAGCTCTCCGCATGCAGACCCAAAGTATGATAGAAATGTGTAACTCGTAAAGCAGAGCTAAACGGAGCTCGTTCATAACAAAGTTGGAGAATGACAGAATTTAGGGAAGCCCGGTGAAGATTGGTAACATTGTCACACTGGAGTAGCCGTAGATATGTTGGAATTGAACATAGAGGTATGGGTTAGGCCCTCTAGGTCAACTTCCCGAGGGATCCAGAAAATAATTGGACGCTTCAATTGGCCTGGGAGGAGACAATCTTTTCTTCATGAGACCTTCAACAACCGAATAGAGAAATTCCTCTGGGAATCCTTTGTTGAGCTTTCTGGGTAAAATTTCCACATAGATATCCACAAAGAGCTTGCGGATTTTAGCGGACTCGGTCGTGTTGTCGTAGGCATAACTGATCGAGCGTGAATCGGGATAGCGGGAAAATCCATTTGTATCGGCTTTTTCGACAATAGCCTGGATTGTTGAATTCTGAAACTCGACATCGAGCAACTTGTCACCGAGCACATATGCCTTAGCAAGATGAAATTGCTCCCTGGTATTGTTAACTCCTGCTTCATTCATCGTTGGACATGGAACAATGACAGGGATTTGGCCAGCGTAAAGCCAGTGTGTGTATAGAGCAAATATCCGCGGGTCATCTTCTGGGAGTGCAACAGTATGTTCCTCGGACTCCTTCCACTGCCCTGACAAGGCCCTGTTGAAAAAAAGAGAAGACGCGCAGATAAGTGATTCGTGGACATAAAAACGTTCCTCCCGGCGTCCGACCGTGATCGTCACTATTGGTCCTTGAAACCTAAGTCAAATTAGTAGCGGTAAACATTTTTTTTTTTTTTTAATCACGATACTTACCTGTTGATGTCGGCTTGTAAGCCCCGGACGGGGGCCTGGGCCATCTTGCTTTTCTTCGTGAACTGGATCTTCACTGCGGCGACTGGGTCGAGCCAGCTCCTGATCACACTTCAGATGTCTGGGGTGCTTTGAGGGATGCGTAAGAGATCTAGGGCATTCTCTTGGGTGGATAGCACTTGTTAAGACTGGAGTGAACGAGTGCTCGATGCTCAGTCGAACTGGTGATATCGTATGGAATATTTGCAAAGGTTATGTAGTAATGTTGAGGTGAGATCTCTCGGGTTGATGGTGAGAGAGGATGAATGGTGAGGGGATGAAAAAAGAGAAGTAACCTTGGAAGGAAAAGTAAAGCAAACAACTTGTATACTACTGCATATGAATACAACATACACGAAGCATGGTTGTAGCCTAAAGCTGCAGGCACCAATGCATCAAATGCACAACCTCGGGATAATGTTCGGATGAGACGTACTACTAGAACCATTTGATAGACTTGCACGGGATAATTATTTTAATTGACTAAAACCAAAGGTAATAAAAGTCAAAGAACAGTATATAAAAGAGTGTGTTCCAAGTCCAGGAAACAGGATATAATGCAACTCGAGCGAAAGCTCTCCAAATAAAGAACAATGAAGCCAAAGATTCCTTCCCCATTGACCTGATCCAGAAAAAAAAAAATACAAATACCCCAACTCGCTAAGATGCAAACACGCTAAAATCAATGGCAGGAAACCAACAACATAAAACCCTTCTTCTGGAGGCTGGAAGGGAGATATGAGAGATGGGGATGGGAGACACATAAAAAGGCGGAGCCTGGATGACCCAAGGACTCCCAAATGAGTCAGATGTGTATAAAACGCGTATGAGGTATCGTGACAAGGTGGAAAAAATGAGGAAACAAAAAAGCCGAGACATTTTTAAATCAAAAGCAGATTCACTCAGCCCTGGCATGGGGCAAGGTGGTATCGGTGGTATCGATTTTAGTCCCACCGGGGGACTCGTTGTGTTCTTCGCTATCATCAGGGATGGGTGAATATGACTTTCCAGACTTCTGCCCTTCGGGTTGCTCGATCCCAGCTTCAAGCTTAGCTTCGATCTTGTCGAGGGTCTCTTCGACCTCCGGGGTATCCTCGATATTAGGTGCAAGCTTAGGGACATCGGGGGACTTCACGAATCGAGGAGATTGCTCAGGTTCAAGGTCCTTCTCGTCTTCTTTGCCCGCCTTGATCTCCTGCTCGGCGGCATCGGCGGTCTCGGTGGCAGTGTGGTCTTCGAGGGTAATGACGTTATCTTCCATCTCCGACTTGGTGTCAACAAACTCTTCATCGTCGCTCGTGGCAGGAATACCAGGAGAGGACTTGGCCTTCTCCGAGGATGGAAGCGCGTGTGGGGATCCATCCAACTGCTCGAGATTCTCCGCCTCAGTGACATCCGTGGGTGAGGTGTTATTGCTTGAGTACGAGAGCGCCGTAGGAGATGACGAGGCACGGCTTGATCCAGAGCCTGGGAGGTGGCGTGGGTGTCGTGGAGGCAAGGTAGGCGGAGTGCGCGCGGGGATTGTGACCAGGCGAGCCCGGGTGAAGCTCGGCGACGTAGACTTGGTGTCACGGTCTGTCGTCTGGTGCTCCACCTTTGTGGGCGAGGGCGGAATACTATCCCTAGGTGTGACAGTAGCATTGCCAACCTCATGGACCTCATAGTGCTCGTCGTCGTCCTCAAACTCGGGGTCCTCGTGCGCATCTTCGCAGGCGTTCGCTTTCACTCTCCTATCCTCTGCCTCCTCGCCCTCCAATTGGCGGACCTTCACATGCTCTTCGTTGCCGTGGATAGCAATCGTATCCCAGTGAGAGCCGTCATCCTCAATCCAGGTATTCATCATCAGTGGACGGCCAATAGACGATCCGTTCGCGCTGCGAGAAGATCCACGGCTCACTGATGTGGGCTCAGTTAGCGAGGCGTCATCGGTCTGTGTGCCACGGTCGACACTAGCATAGCTCTTGGAGCTCTGAACACTCGCGCGCCAACTACTGCGCGGCGAGCTATCCATGCTGCGCCGAGAGAAAGTGCTATAAATAGGACTGTCCAGGTTCGGCCGGAATTCAAATGTCTCATGGCTTGGTCTCACCTTTGTGCCGGCCTCGCGGATGAAAAGCCCCTCCGCCTCCAGCGCCTTCACCCCATACGGATCGGGATCGTCCACAGCCGGCACGCCGAAATGTTCTCCGTCTTCCAACAACTCCATATCGCCAGGTGTTTCACCTGGAGGCGGGACAAGACTTTCGTCGACATCAGAGTCGCCTTGTGCAGCCTTCAGGGTTTCCATAAGCGTTTGGAGCTCGTGAGGCGGGTGCCGGACTTTGCCCGATAGAATCTCGTCAACGGATATCCGCTCGCCGTAGAAGCGCTCGTTCTCGTCAGTTCGCTCGATAATGATGGTGCCATCGACAGCAACACCTGCATACAGGCCTTTGCTCTTCATATATGTCCAAATTGGTGCCTGGCGTTTGTGCACTTCGGATTCGAGGACCCCACCCATACCTACGGGTCCCGCGGCTGCGCTGACCTCCCCGCCGAGCGTGCAACGGAATTTCTTGAATGCTTCCAGGGCCTCATGGGTGTTGATGATTACCACGCAGTCATAAATGTCCACTCCAGCGAGAAAGCCTATCCCGGCTGTGTGTAGCATGATACCAGATGGCGGGCTCCATGCGCCGGTCTCGGGGAGGCGACCTATCAGTACGCCACTACCGCCAGAGCCACTCATCCATAGACCTGTGCGCATGGTCGTGAAGATGGCGACGCCCTTGGCATTTTTGAGGACTTGTGCTGGGATCTTCTGGATAACGCGTTGCTTGCCCTTGGGGCGATTGATCTTGCCATCCTCGTCGACGCCGGTTGTGGAATCGGGGGCATAGAAGCCTTCTTTGCAGAAGCTGCGTAGGATGCGCGCGGCTTTGTCGGCTTCCTTGTCGAGTGTCATGGGCCAGAAGGCTTCGGCGCCCAGTTTGTGCGATAGGCGATTAACGGGGCCGCCGAGCTTGTCGACGGTGTCCCATGCTTTGTCGAAGCCTTTTTTTGAGATGCTTTTGGTCTTCTCCCACCGATTTGGAGACATGGTGGCTGCCAGATAGAAGAGATGGCCGCCAGGCAGAAAAGACTTTCAAAGTTATTATAGGGCAATTGAAGAAGGATGAAGAATTCGGATGCGCTTTGCGCCGCAAAAAGGCTGATTAAGGTGGGGATCTATACAATTACTGAAACACGACTTGCGCCGCGAACAGCAGAATCCCGAGAGATTCTTAAATCGGGGAATGTATCGAGGGAGGTGAGATCTGCGTAACCCAGGAATGCGGGGAGGAATGCGTTGGAAAGTTTCTAGGAAATATGGAAAGAAAGTATACGAGATTCCAAGATTATAGAAGGGATGGAAGGAAATGAAGGGAAGAAATAGAAGACGATTTCCAATCCGGGTCAGACGGAAAGGGTTTTGAATATTTCAAAGAGTCTGGACCAAGAACAACCCGGTGGACAATATGGATTTTTCCATGGTTCCAAGGTTCGGAGAGGCAAGGTCATCATCCATGGATCAGCTGTTTTTTTTTTTTTTTGGTTTTCTGTTTGGTTTTTTTTAATTTGTCCGTTTTTTTCTCTTTACTGTATTCGTATATGTATCTATCCGGAGTACTCCGTACTATTGTACATAGTAGTATTATAGACGAATCTATTGATATTATTGCCTATGACATTTGGAATAATTATCTGACCTCTTGTACATCCAACTCTTTAGAAATGACCAGTCCAGATAATCACATACCTCGTAACCCCACCTGGAAAATTTAAAAAGCCCTGGTCTCCAAGGCTAGAACGCGTTGTCAAGAGTATTTCTTTAGATATTTATTAGTATCTATTTATTTTTACATATCTACTTCTATTGTAGTATTCCGTGCCTAAAAAAAAAAAAAAAAAAATTATACATTGTTATTGTTAATTTATCCCTTTGATCTTGATTTATCTTCAAGCCCCAGTGGATCTCTCAGATGACAGCTCAACCTAGGCTGAATAGATCGACCACGCTATAGGCAATGGCAATGTACGCATCCGTCGGCTCGGTTTTCCTTCTACTCCGCACGGAATAGTAATTTGAGATTAGATATCTTTTCAGCTCATTGCCAGCGCATCATCTAGCGTATCCCCAGGCTGCGGAGTATAATAATGCAAGATCTTTTTCTATAACACATCTACGCTAATGTACTTGGCCCGATGGGGACCTTCAACAATTATGCACCATATCCTTATATACCATACCTACTTGGTGCTTTTGAGATGTTAATCAATCGTTAAAAAAGAAAGATCTTCGAATTGTGAGGCTCTCGGAACATTTCATCACCAATCGGGGAGAGTTGGGTACTATGGCTGACAATAGAGGTATTGCCTCGGGCTGAGATGCAACTTGGGCGCTGTAGAGTTCCGATTGGTTAGTTTTGCCAGCATTCAATAAATAAACCATCCGAGGTTAGTTAGGTTGGGAAGAACGATACATATGGCCATCCCTATACGGGTGGCTATTACTTCGTACATACTTCCTCTCAACCGCAGATGAGATCTAGCCACTCTAGCGCCGCTGTGGCGGATGATGATCCACGATGTTGCAGTAGTGTGGCCCCCCTGCGAACTACCTAGGTATGACTATGCTTACAGAAAGGATCCCTAATTGAACATGCCAAATTGGAACTAGTGGACCTAGTACACACTATCAATTATAAAGAATATGTTTATCATTCATATAAAGATCTAGCATCCAATACATGCACACATGCCTCGCCACACAGCATGGTCGTCAAAAACCCGTGGGAGAAATGCACAAGACGAATCCAAATTTAGTGGGTAACATTTCAAAGGCGATGGTATAGAAAATCAGGGTAATCAAGAACAGGCTTAGCGCGCATTTACAACGCACCCAGCTCCTTAAGCTTGGAGACAAGGCCATCGACATCCTCGACCTTGCCACCACCCTTTCGTGGCGCGGGTTCTACAGAACATTAGC